TCTATTTGAAAGGCAGAGTTACAGAGAAGGAGAGGCAAAGGCAGAGAGAAGTCTTCCATCTGCTGGTTCACTCCCCAGATAGCCATAATGGTCAGGGCTGGACTAGGCTGATGCTAGAAGCCAGGAGCTTCTTCCTGGTCTCCCATGCGAGTGCAGGGCCCAAGTATTTGGGCCATCTTACACTGCTTTCCCAGGCACATTACCAGGGAGTTGGATTGGAAGTGGAGATGCTGGAATGGGAACTGGCGCCCATAGGACATGCCAGCACGGCAGACGGCAGCTAACTCACTACGGCACAGCGTCAGCCCCTTTTGTGTATCTTTGGAGTTTTGGTTGTAACCTTCCAACCCTCACTCTGAGTTTTAATCATTTTATACTTCTGCCCACTAACAACCAAGTTTCAGGTAGAGGAGGGAACCAGCTGGGTCTCCAGAACAACCACTGATTTAAATGCTTTTAGGTCTCTTTCCACTTTTTAATCTCTTACTGTCAGAGTCATCCTGTGCCACTCTTTATTAGTTTTCTTCATGGACTTGGGAATATGTCTACCAATAGCTGCACACTTGCACCAGACAGCTTCCAGCATTGCATGGACCTCTAGTTCCCTGTGGTCCCAAGTCCAAAATGCAGCTCACATCAGGTGTCCATTCCTGGACCAATTCCTTGGAGAAACCCAATACAGGCATCCCAGCTCCCCAGGCTATCCTGCTTCCAGTCCCCTCAGAAATAACCAGTCTCATGTTCATCATTGTCTTTTTTTTTTTTTTTACCATTTTACCTATATATGCCTAACAAGATACTCTCTAGAGTAGCCTACTTTTCACTTTTGTGTATCATACGTATATATTCCTCTGTGATTTATGTATTCCCTTAATATTATGACTTAAGGTTTATCCAGCTGCGTTCATTCATTTTCATAGCTGTATGTTATTTGTATGACTATTGTAATTGCTTACTTATTTCAGTATTGACAGACACTGGATTGTTTCCAACTTTCTCTGATAAAGACCAATGTAACCGTGAACCTTCTTATTCTCGTCTTCTGGTCCATGTGAGGAAATTTCCCTGGGGAATATTCCTAGGTGTGTGATTGCTGGGTTACAGAGTATGTGCATGCCCCCTTTTAAAAATAAGGCCACATTTTCCAAAGTGCTTATATCAAACATGCCAAGATTGTATTTTGTCAGACTTCCAAATTTTACCACACTTGTAGGTATAAATATATATTAAAATTTTAATTCACATTTGTCTAGTTTCCAATGAGCTGAGATTTTTTTTTTCATACTTCCTTCCTGGCCCATCTTCCATGTTTAGGAAATGCTGCTACCTCATTCTTACTCTCATGTTGGCCCTAAACTAGCTAAAAGCAGCACCTACCTGCATTTTGTGATGTACTGTCTCTGCATTTGCCAAATATCTTTCTTATCAGTCAATTAATGCCATTTGTGATGAGCACTCATGGCTTAGTTTTCTTTAGAATCTTCTAATTGCTTATGTAGTAACAAAAAATGCAGAATACCTATAAGATATGTGATGATAAAAATCAGAATGAATGCATTGGCTGATGTGGAAGATGGCAACAGAATGCCCCATCAGTGGTCTGAAACCAGTAGGAGTCAACTAGGAGAATAAAAAGCTCCTCTATTTCCAAGAACTGTGACATGATAGGAACTATACTGGTTATTTATAAAAATTACTTCTTAGCCTTTCACTAACTCCTTATGTATTATTATCTCTATCTTATAGACGACAAAAACTAAGATTCAGAGCCAAGGAGTAGTTCAGAGAGTCCAGAGCTCAGCATGCAGTAATTCAGCAAGTCCTTTGTCCATTACCTGAGGGCTCAGCACGAGTTTTGGTGGAATGCTGTATTTGGCACCGGGGATGACTGGTCTTCGGGGGATGCTGCCGTTCTTGGTCACTGGGAAGGGACTGTCTACAGCCATGAAGGGGAACTAAAATAGTGAAAAGCTGCTTAACATTCAGGGTTGCCTAAATCCCACCCCGTGTCTATCTGCCACATGAAGGGGTCCTCACTCACTGTACATTAGATAAGGGCAGGGCTCCCCTATACAACTCTCAGTTCTGCTTTGCAAGTTGGGTGCCAGTCTGTGCCTTAGTTTTATTGCCTATAAAACAGGGCTAAAACCTACCTTGATAAACTAGGTTCCCATGGCTGCTGAAATGAATTACCAAAAACCTGTTGACCTCAGACACAAACTTATTTTCACAATTCTGAAAGGCAGAAATCCAAAGTTAGTTCCCCCCCTGCTTGGGGGGGAGGGGATTGTCCTGACTTCTTCCAGTTTCTGGCGGCTGCCAGCCATACTCCATCAACCTCTGCTTCTCCTTTATGTGTATGCAAGTGATTTCATTTCGAGTCCATGCTGATCATTTGGGATAATTTCTACATCTCAGAAATCCCTAATCTGCAGAGACTCTGTTTCCCTATAAAGTAACACAGACTCCAGGGATTAGGACCTACTGTCTTTGGGATCCATCACTCTGCTTTTTCACTCAAGATTCTTACATGTAGGAAGCATGCTAATGCTGGCAGAGGGCTGAGCACAGCACCTCACAGCAGAAGACAATGAGTTAATAGCCTAGCTTCTCTCTAAAACGTGGTCTCTAACAATGCCTCCATTAGAGGGCTGCTGCAACTCCAAAGTCTAGGTGTGTACAGGCTACAGGAAACTGAAGTATTCAGAAATCTACCAACAACAGATGCTGGTGAGGATGTGGGGAAAAAGGCACACTAACCCACTGTTGGTGGGAATGCAAACTGGTCAAGCCACTATGGAAGTCAGTCTGGAGATTCCTCAGAAACCTGAAGATAACCCTACCGTTCGACCCAGCCATCCCACTCCTTGGAATTTACCCAAAGGAATTTAAATTGGTAAACAAAAAAGCGGTCTGCACCCTAATGTTTATTGCAGCTCAATTCACAATAGCTAAGACCTGGAACCGACCTAAATGCCCATCAACGGTAGACTGGATAAAGAAATTATGGGATATGTACTCTCTAGAATACTATACCGCAGTAAGAAACAACGAAATCCAGTCATTTGCAACAAAATGGAGGAATCTGGAACACATCATGCTGAGTGAAATAAGCCAGTCCCAAAGGGACAAATACCATATGTTCTCCCTGATCGGTGACAACTGACTGAACACCAAAAAGGAAACCTCCTGAAGTGAAATGGACACTATGGGAAACGGTGACTTGATCAGCATAGCCCTGACTGTTAATGAACAACTTAATACATTATCCCTCTTAGTAGTTTTTTTTGTCTGTTCTACTTAATACGACTGGTTTAATTCTGTAATTAATACACAGTTATTCTTAAGTGTTAAAAATTAACTGAAAGGTGATCCCTGTTAAACATAAGAGTGGGAATAAGAGAGGGAAGAGATGTACAATTTGGGACATGCTCAAGCTGACTTGCCCCAAATGGTAGAGTTAAAAACATACCAGGGGATTCCAATTCAATCCCATCAAGGTGGCATGTACCAATGCCATCTCACTAGTCCAAGTGATCAATTTCAGTTCACAATTGATCATAATGAAAGGACTAAGAGTCAAAGGGAGCATATAAACAAGTCTAGTACCTGCTAACACTAACCGATGGAATAAATAAAGGGGAGAGTGATCCAACATGGGAAGTGAGATACTCAGCAGACTCATAGAATGGCAGATGTCCTAAATAGCACTCTGGCCTCAGAATCAGCCCTAAAGGCATTTGGATCTGGCTGAAAAGCCCATGAGAGTATTCCAGGCATGGAAAGCCAAGACACTCTGGCAAAAGATCTCTGCAAGTGAGATCCCAGTGGAAAGAACAGGTCTTCAAAGAAGGAGGTACCTTTCTCTGAAGGGAGGAGAGAACCTCCACTTTGACTATGACCTTGTCTAAACAAGATAAGAATCGGAGAACTCAGAGGGCTTCCATAGCCTTGGAAACTCATGACTGGAGCATAGGGAGACTACTGATGCCATAGACAGGAGTGTCAATTGGTAAAGTCAACAACAGGAGTCACTGTGCACTTACTCCTCATGTAGGATCTCTGTCCTTAATGTGCTGTGTATTGAGATTTAATGCTATAACGAGTACTCAAACAATATATTTCACTTTGTGTTTCTATGGGGGTGCAAACTGTTGAAATCTTTACTTAATGTATACTAAACTGATCCTCTGTAAAAAAAAAAAAAAAAAAAAAAAGAAATTATCAACTCCCAACTTGACTCTCACTGGGATTAAACATGACAATAGGTCTGATCTGATTTCATCATCATTTAAAAAAAATCATCTATTATTTTTCACTTTATGTTTCTGTGTGAGAGCAAACTGTTGAAATCCTTACTTAATGTATACTAAGCTGATCTTCTGTATATTAAGATAATCGAAAATGAATCTTGATGTGAATGGAGGGGAGAGGGAGTGGGAAAGGGGAGGGTTGTGGGTGGGAGGGACGGTATGTGGGGGAAGCCATTGTAACCCATAAATCGTACTTTGGAAATTTATATTCATTAAATAAAAGTTAAAAAAAAACAAAAAACAAAAAACAAAAAAAAAACTGAGACCTGCCACACACACACACACACACACACACACACACACACACACATACCTGTCCCACCCCCCACCGCTCCTATGGCACCCCTACTCTCCAGGAAGCATCAGACCCCGCCCACTTGCATTTCACCACCAGGAGGCTGGATTTTCCACTTAGAGGTCCTGCCCCCTCCTTGCACTCACCCCTCCCTCGCCCCGCCCACCTAGCTCGGCTTCTTCCGCTCTTAGTGCGTTTGAGGCCCCCGGGCCTCTGGGTCTGTCCATTCTACTGCCTTTCAAATTATAGCAAGTTCTAGCTAATTAGTTCTTTTCCAAGATCTTCAGTCATTATTCCAATAGAGCTATATTTAATTATGAAAGGACAATGACAAACTGCTTGTCTTCCTATGAAAAAAGGGAACAAAAACTGTTGGAGACAGAAAGGTGATATTTAAGTCAGCCCGCACAAACGGGTCTGGGTCCTACGCTCGTCGGTCGCGGAGCCCGGGCCGCTCCCCGCGCAGGCGCAGTGAGCCGACTCACCATGCCGACTGTCAGCGTGAAGCGCGATCTGCTCTTCCAAGCCCTGGGCCGGACTTACAGTGAGTGCCGGTCCCGTGCTTTGGGCTCTGCGCCTCCTCTCTCCTCCCAGAGAGCACCGTGAAAACATTTCTGTCTTAGACTCAGGTCGAAGTTTTTACGGGGCGGGCTGACGAGCGGGGTGGCCCAGCGGGCCTGTGGTTGCATCACCCACGTGTGCCCGGGCCTCCGTGCCATTCATTCAGCGGTCTGCGAGGAGCGTGTGCCGGGTGCCGACACCGGTGCCGGGGAGTGGAGTGGGGAGGAAGCCCCGGGTTGCACCCTGAGTGTAGACAGTTCCGTGCAGCGAGGAGAGCGCCGTCGGAACTCGGGTTGTGACGGCGTGGGAGGAGGAGTTTGAGCAGAAGGGAGGGGACGACATTCTGTCTTCGTTTTATTTTATTAATGCTCGCTGTGTCAGGCACTGTTCTAAGGGCTTGGGGCTACAGCTCTACACGCGGCACAGAGGTCCACGCTCCTGTTACCATGTAGGGGGCAGGCTGTAACTACCCCTACGTGAACAAACTGTCTCGGGTAATGTAAAATGCTCTCTCGGAGGAAAAACCAGGTGTTGTGCCAAGAATAGCCTTTGATAGGGGGTACCCTTTGAGCCTGGGACCTGAATGACGAGACGTCTTTTTATTCGACGGGCTTGATCTTCATGATACACTTAACCTCTTCTTCAGTTGTAGAAGCACAACCATTGGTAAAAAGGGGAATATTCAGTACAGTTATCAGTTACCATGCAGATGGAACCGTTGAAATATCATCGGTCCACCCCATAATTACCAGTTTGTCTTAAGGCTGTAGAGGCTGATTTGCTGGAGCTCTTTTTTGGTTTTAGGATCCAATATGATAACAGTGTCCGATCAACTTAATAACAGAAGCAGCTTCACAGAATAGGATATTACCTCCACCGTGAAAATAAAGTTAGCTTTTCAAAAACTTTTCTAAAGGTGTACTTTTATATATTATAATTAAAAAAATATTCTGTTTATTTGAGAGGCAGAATTACAGACAGTGAGAGGGAGAGACAGAGAGAAAGGTCTTCCACCTGCTGGTTCACTCCCTAAATGACCACAGTGGCTGGAACTGAGCAGATCCGAAGCCAGGAGCTTCTTCAGGGTCTCCCATCCGGGTGCAGGAGTCCAACTGCTTGGGCCGTTTTCCACTGCTTTCCCAGGACTTGGCAGAGAGGTGTTTTAGAAGAGGAGCAGCAGGGACTAGAACCGGCGCCAGTACTGCAGGCAGAGCACCCGCCCCCCCCCCCCCCCCCCTTAAGATTTAAGTATTTGGAAGGCAGAATTACAGAGACAGGGAGAAACCATTTGCTGCTTCTTTCTCAAAATGGCCACAACGGCCAGGGCTGGGCCAGACTGATGCCAGGAGCCTCATCAGTGATGTGAGTGAGGGGGGCCTATGCACCTGGGCCATGTTCCGCAGCTTTCCCAGGTGCATTAGCAGGGAATTGGATTGGAAGAGGAGCCGCCGGAACTCGAACTGGCATGCCTATGGGATGCTGGTGTCACAGGCATAATGCCAGCCCCTGGAACCTATCTATTTTCTAAGTATTATTCTCCATAAAGTTCTGCCCCAAGTCCCAGAAAGTAGATAAGCCAGAACTCCAACAGTTGCTCTGATACGGGATGCTGGCTTGGCAAGTGGCAGCTTAACCCACTGCACCTCAGTGCTGGTCCTGCTTAATATTTCTTGCTTGCCATTCTAAACCACATCCTTACTAATGGAGTGTGATGTATCTGAGTTGCCTCAGATGGTATGTGGCAAGTTGTTCAGAGCATCCATAATGAGTTCTTATCCAAGGCTCCTCTGGGAAAGTAAGAACCAGTCCACCTCTCAAAAGATGGTAAGGGGCTGGCGCTGTGGTATAGCCGTTAAAGCTGCTTACCTGCAGTGCCAGCATCCCATGTGGACATCTGTTCGAGTCCCAGCTGCTTTACATCTGATCCAGCTCCCTTCTAGTGTGCCTGGGAGAGCAACAGAAGGTGGCCCAAGTCCTTGGGCCCCCTGCACCCACGTGAGAGACCTGGAAGAAGCTACAGGCTCCTGGCTTCAGATCAGCCCAGCTCTGGCTGTTGCAGCCACTTTGAGAGTGAACCAGCAGATTAAAGACTTCTCTCTCTCTGCCGCTCTGTAACTCTGCCTTTCAAATAAATAAATAAATCTTAAAAAAAAAAAAAAAAAAAAGTGGTGGAGCCAGTGCCGCGGCTCAGTAGGCTAATCCTCTGCCTTACGGCGCCGGCACACCGGGTTCTAGTCCCGGTGAGGGCGTCGGATTCTGTCCCTGTTGCCCCTCTTCCAGGCCAGCTCTCTGCTGTGGCCAGGGAGTGCAGTGGAGGATGGCCCAAGTGCTTGGGCCCTGCACCCCATGGGAGACCAGGAGAAGCACTTGGCTCCTGGCTTTGGATCAGCGCAATACGCTGGCCGCAGTGTGCTGGCTGCGGCAGCCATTGGAGGGTGAACCAACAGCAAAAGGAAGACCTTTCTCTCTGTCTGTCTCTCTCTCACTGTCCACTCTGCCTATCAAAGAAAAAAAAACTGGTGAGATGGGTCAGCACTGTGGTGTAGTAGGTTAAGCCTTTGCCTGTGGCGCTAGCACCCCATGTGGGTGCAGGATTGAGTCCCTGCCACTCCACTTCTGATCTAGCTCCCTGCAAAGGCAGTGGAGGATGACTTAAGTCCTTGGGCCCCTGCACCCACGTTGGGGCCCTGGAAGAAGCTCCTGGCTCCTGGCTTCCGATTGGCCCAGCTCTGCCATTGCGGCCATTTGGGGAGTGAACCAGCAGATGAAGACCTCTCTCTCTGTTTCTCCCTCTCTCTCTTTGTAACTGCCTCTCAAATAAATAAAACTTTTTTAAAAGATGGTGAGCTATATAACTTACTGTTCATCTGATGTTTTAACCTGTCCTCTAGCTGCCCGCTCCCTTTTTCACATTGTGTATGATCAGGTAAGCTTGATTTCCACAAATAACTCTGTTAGCTTCAGTCAGAAAGATTGATCTTATTGAAGTGTACTTCAGACAGATAGAAACGATAGTTTATTATATTCTTTCCTGAAATCTTTTAAGAATTAATTGGGTTGAGGTCAGAGTTGGAAAAGCATGTTCAGCAAAGCATTTTCTTCCAGATAGTGTAGCTCCATCTTGTTTTCTTTTTTTTTTTCAGTCCTCTTTTTCATTTTCAGTTAATGCCTCATTCACACTTTTCTATCTGTATTCTCTCTTCCTAGTCCCTCCAAGGGTTGCTTTCTGACTACCCGACATGGCATTGTTTCTACCAGTCACCACCTTCTCCTTCACTGTCTCTTTGCTTGTCAAGGCTGTTTCTCTCAATCTGTTATTCTGATCATTTTGCTCAGCGGATGCCTTTGGAGCAGTTTTATTGTAGGTCTGCTGTTTCCATGCCTTTCTGTTCAGATATTTTCTGCAGCCCCTCATTTTCTTGGTAACTGATTTATTATGACTGCTGTTCATCTCTGGTCTTGTAGTGTGGTGTACTGCCAGAGTTATCTGTGCATATCCTACAAACCCCTAACCAGCATGGGGAACCTTTTGTCTGCCAAAGGCCATTTGGATATTATAACATCATTTCTGGGCCATGCAACATTATCAACTTAAAGGTTAACATGCTGTAGATTTATTGAATTTTGAGTCCCATCTGTGATTGCTTTGGCAGGGCCAGTTCAGATAGTTAAGGCCTGCAGGCTGGATGTTCCCCACCCCTGCCCTGTCATTTTGACAGAGGAAATTATTTAATCATCACTTTATATTGGTTCTTTTGAAATATAACTGAGAGGAATTAAGCATTTATAGTAACTAGGATTCAGTATATTATACTGTTTCTGTACAATTTGATTAATTACATATAATTGTATACAATAAATTACTACAATAAATTACTCCCAAAATTAACATCTTCAGTTTTTTTTGTAACATGTTAAAACAAGTCTTTTGTTATACAGTTTCTGTTGGTCAAGAATTGGGAAGTAGCGGTTCTAACTCTGGATCTCATCAGAAAGTGTTGGTCAGATCTGTAGACACCTAACTTGAAGCTGGAGAATCTGCTTCCAAGGTTGCCAAAGTGATTGTTAGCAGGTCTTAATTCCTTTGTGATTTTTGGTTAGAAATTTCATTTCCTACCACTTTGGCTTTTCTATGGCACTGCTTACCACATGTTAGCTTATTTGCCCCAGATTGAGAAGTATAAGGGAGCAGGCAAATGAGAGTGCAATTGAGAGTGCTTGGCATGCAAGCCTTAGTTATTTTTTTTCTCCCAAAGAAACCTTTTATTTAAAGAATATAACTTTGTGTATTTCATAAATACAATTTTAGGAACATAGTGATTCTTCCCACCAAACCTGCCCTCCCACCCACACTTCTATCCTTCTCCCTCTCCTATTCCTAGTCTTATTTTTAACTAAGATCTATTTTGAATTAACTTTATACACAGCAGATTAACTCTATACTAGCTAAAGAGTTCAACAAGTTGTATGAAAAAAAAAAAACAAAACTGTTCCTCAACAGTTGAGACAAGAAAGTCCAAGTTTTTAATAACAGTTCAGAAGTGATATGCCATTCCTTTTCATATTCTCTTGGCCACAAAGACTAATGCTGGCACAGTACGGAGGGAAACTGCATTAGAGGATATGAATACCTGGAGGTCGGTCTGACTGGAAGCCATCTTGGAGGCTGACTGCCACAGTCCCCTGGTCCCAGTGATTCATGTTCCTCACACAAATGCAGCAGCTCTTAATCCAGCATCACATCGTCTAATCAGGTCCAGGTGTGGATGTGGCCCTGCAGGTGTAGTTCCTTAAGTTTAGGTCCTTGAGTGTAGTTGACTTTTGGCCTGAGATTCAAGAGACAAGTTATCTGCCCCACATACACGGGAAATACAATGGTGGGAAAGGCTTAGGGTAATTACTATAGACATTTTTCTTCAAAAGGACATAGCGGGAGTGGGGCAGAGGACAGGAGACACAAGAGTCACTGGTCCATGGCAGTTCTGAGATCACTTGGCAAATAGTGGATGTTCTTGATTAGATCCAAGGCCTGGGATAATTTTCCATGGCTGTCTGCCCTGCCCTCCAGGCTCTTGGTTCCGCACTGAGTGATCCCCAGAAAGCATGTGCTTTACAGCTGATTAATTTTTCTCAGTCTAATTCCTACCAATGGAATTTTGGGGGTTCAAAGACTTCATTTTGTCTTGTTTCTGTCCTTTCGAGTTCAGTATGGCAATGTTTCTGCATATGTATTTCTTCTGAAAGCCCTGGGTCTTTGATGAATTTTACTGCCTTCCATTTCATTAGTCAAAAGCCACACCACTCACAGATCTCTGAAATAAGCAGCTCTGTACTTTGGGCTTCAACTGATACAGTGCTCTTACTTAAGCTGTAAGTAGTGTGTGATAACTGAATTTGTGAGATGCGCTCATTTCTTTCTGTCACCTTTTGTTTGCATGAATAGCACCTTTGATCTTCTGAGTCTTAAGATTTTATAGTCATACCCTTGATTCTATCTTGGGACCATGTTTTCCAGACAACGTCTTTTATTGGATCTTTGCTTAGAAATTATTTCATAATTTTAGCATTGTTTGGTATCTAGAGAGGTTGATAATTTTTTCAGTCATCTGTATCCTGGCTCCTTTTTGTTTAACAACCCTTCCTTTAGTTTCTCTTCTTTCACATAAGCAGCTAGGTAGGAACCAGGCAGCACTCTGCATCTGGTTGATTTAGGTACATTTTTCTGTCAGCCACTTAACTGTAGGTAACAATGTTATGGGACTTTCTGTCTTTACATGTAACAAGGATTTCCTTTCTTCTACTTTCCAGTAACACTCTCGCCCTTTTGGCATGTCCTCGTCTGAGTAGTAGGCTTCTTTTTTTTTTTTTTTTGACAGGCAGAGTGGACAGTGAGAGAGAGAGACAGAGAGAAAGGTCTTCCTTTTGCCGTTGGTTCACCCTCCAATGGCTGCTGCGGCTGGCGCACTGCGCTGATCCGATGGCAGGAGCCAGGTGCTTCTCCTGGTCTCCCATGGGGTGCAGGGCCCAAGTACTTGGGCCATCCTCCACTGCTCTCCCAGGCCACAGCAGAGAGCTGGCCTGAAAGAGGGGCAACCGGGACAGAATCCGGCACCCCGACTGGGACTAGAACCCGGTGTGCCGGTGCCGCAAGACGGAGGATTAGCCTATTGAGCCACGGCGCCGGTGAGAGTAGTAGGCTTCTAATGTCAGTTTTTTCAAGGCCCTAGAGGTTTGTATTTGTACTCAACAGTCCACTGTATAGATCCAAGGCCACTCTCAGGGGTTTGTTTTTTGTTATATAAGCACTTCATTTCCAGGGACTAAAATCTGTGTTCATCATTACCCTAGTAATTAGGAGTCTAAAACAACATGCCTTTATTATTCCAGTTTCTGAGACAGGAATGGAGGAGTGACTTAGCTGGGTGGTTCTGGCTCCCACCCTTCATCAGATTGCTGTGAAGCTGTCAGCGGGGGCCACTGTCACCTCAAGGTTTGACTGAGCTGGAGAATCTGCTACCAAACTCACTCATGCGGTTGCTTCAGGTCTCAGTTCACATAAGGGTGTGAATGCTGGAAGGCAGGGATCATTGGGGACCAGTTTGGAGGCTGGTACTCCTGTTATTACTGCCCTAGTGAATGACACCTCCACTCGTTTCCCCAGACCAGAGAGCTGGGAGTCATCCTAGATGCTTCCTGCTTGCTCACTGTTCCCACTTCCCATCAGTCAGCCATCAAGCCTTACAGATTCTGCTTTAACATTTCTCACATTCATTCCTCCTTTCTCAGGCTCATCACCACTGCCTTAAATGAAGCCCTCACTGTATCTCACCTATACTGCAGTAGACTTCTTGCTCCAGTAGCCCTGCCACTAGTCTTTAAAATGTAGATCTAATCATGTTTTTGCCCAGTTGAAAAAATCTCCAGTGTAACTCCGCATTGCCTGCAGGTAGAGGGCAAATCCCTTTCCCTTGGCATGTTATGATTTGACCGCTTTCCATTTGTTCCATCATTAACTCCTCCTGACACAGACCTTATACTGCACCCGTGTTGAGCTGCTTAGAGTTTCCTGATTTGCCATGCTGTTGTTTCACTCCTCACAATCTACCTGATGAGTGTAACCTTTCTGTGAAGCCTTAACTGACCTTAACTAGAACTGATTGCTTCCTTTCTTCCACCCTTATACCTTGTACTTAATTGTATTTATTTGTTTGTCTGATTTTTTTACTAGAGCAGGAAGTCATTGAGGCAGGAATTATGTTTTATTTATCTTTATAGCCCTGGTAGCTAGTACAGTGCCTGGACTACAGTGGGTACCCTATAAATATTTGTTAAATTGAACTTAGATGTTTGGATTAGGAATCTTTTTTTTTTTTTAAAGATTTATTTATTTGAAAGGCAGAGTTATGGAGAGAGAGGGAGAATGGAAGAGACAGAAAGAGATCTTAAATTCACTGGTTTGCTCCCCAAATGGCTGCCATAGGACTGGACCAGACCAAAGCCAGGAACCTAGAACTCAATTATAGTTTCCCACATAGGTGGCAGGGACTCAAGTACTTGGGCCATTTTCTGCTTTCCTAGGCATATTAGCAAGCAGCTGGATCAGAAGCAGAGCAGCCAGGACTTGAATATGTGTCCAAATGGGATGCTGGCATCACAGGCAGCAGCTTAACCCACTGTACCTCAATGCCAGCCCCTGAATCAGGAGCCTTAATACCAACTTTTCACTAGTATACGACAGTCCCATGCTATGAATGACCGTAAAATGCTTCTGGCTTCTGATTGATGCTTCTGTAAAGTTTACATAAGATGCCAAGAAAGTTCATGGAAGGTGCCAACTTCTCAGAAGTAGGGTAGTCAGAAGTCACACTCTAGTTGGCTTGGCTCCAAAGTCAAGTGTCAGGCTACCTCAGATAGTTTTCAGTGATAGGATTTCTTTCTTACTTTCTGTTTTTTTTTTTTTTTTTTAAAGATTTATTTATTTATTTGAAAGGCAGAGGCAGAGAGAAGTCTTTCATCTGCTGATTCACTCCTTAAAAATGGCCACTATGGCTGGAGTTGGGCCAATCCGAAGACAGGAGCCAGGAGCTTCTTCTGGGTCTCCCACGCAGGTGTGGGGACCTGAGGACTTGGGCCATCTTCTTCTGCCTTCCCAGACCATAGCAGAGAGCTGGATCTGAAGAGGAGCAGCCAGGACTCGAACCAGTGCCCACATGGGATGCCAGCACTGCAGGCAATGGCTTTACCTGCTATGCCACAGTGCCGGCCCCAGTGATAGGCTTTCTATGACATTTGATTGTGTTGGATCTGTGATTTGTAGCCTACTTGATCCCTACTTAAGAGGCTTTTTTTTCCCCTAAGTATATACAAACTTCCCCCTACAGGTAACCTAATCTTATGATCGATACTGGAATAGATTAATCAGCCCTTTGATGGTTTTGTTTTCTTCTTCTCTTTTACTATTTAAATGCTGATATCTGGAGCCTGATATTTAATATGCTTGACATAAGGCAATTAATTATGAGATATAATTTATAAAAATAAATAAGAAAATACAAGTTGTATATGATTTTTTTTTATGCTGAACAGATGAAAATAAACAACCTTTTTTTTTCTTTTCCTAGCTGATGAAGAATTTGATGAACTCTGTTTTGAATTTGGGCTGGAGCTCGATGAAATTGTATGTATAAGATATTTGTTCACCTTTTTCATATTCTGTGTGTGAACTGGGTTTTCAGGTGTTTGCTATTTTTATCTTTGTTACCTGATAGCTAGACTAGGATGATGCATTTGTGGACCCTGGTGATTTCTGTGTCTTTGTTCTAAACTTTGTTTAGAAGTTCCAGTTCTAAAAGTCACTGTTCACTTTGACTAAAATAGAATCTCAAAAGGGTTCATGTCTAGTTTTGTATGCATTCGCCTCAAGTTATCAGGCTGATGTAGTGATGTAGTGATAACTCAGATAACTGGGGCAAGAGTGAGCTGCACAGTAGTGAGCTGCCTTTACAGAAGGGACCTGAAAGCAGTGGGAATGTGGCTTTACTCGTGGTGGTGAGGTCTCCACCCCTAGCTCTTCCTCCTGAAAGACATTGTATGTAATGAAAATGTCAGTCATTCTGTGGTAGGTGGTAGTAGTTTTTTTCTTAAGCTCTCTATCTTTTTGAAATAGTCATTGTTTTATAACAGTACCTTAGGTTTAAAGTTGAAAAACCTTCAGGCCAACAAAAATGTATGCTCCCTTGTTTTGTTTCTCTAGCTTATTTATGATTGTTACAAAAATATAATCTTTATATCAATGAACATCTGTTTCCTTGGAAAATTGGCTGAGATTTCTGTAGTTTGTAAGTTGCTAATTTCACTCAGCTTCAGAAAAGATGGTTGAGATTGTGTGACAGCTAGGAGCATTGGACTGGATGTTAGAAAGTTTGAATTATAGTTCCAGTTCTGACATTTACTAACTGTTACCATGAAGTTACTTAGCCTCTGTGAGCCTTGTACTTTAGTCTCGTTTTGTGAAATAAAAAGTTTCAATTGAATGATCTCTATAGGTCCCTCTTGACTCTGAAATTTATGTGGTCCTTTATCTCTGTAAGTTTTTTGTCAGGGGCTGGTGTTGTGGAGTAGCAGGTTAGGTTGCTGCCTGTGACACTGGCATTCAGTTTGGGTGCTGGTTCAAGTCACAGCTGCTCCACTTTTGATCCAGCCACCTGCTAATGTACCTGGAAAAGCAGCCAAAGATGGGCCCTGCACCCAAGTGGGAGACCTGGATGAAGCTCCTGGCTCCTGGCCACGACCTAGCTCAGCCCTGGCTGTTGCAGCCAGTTGGAGAATGCACCAGCAGATGGAAGATCTCTTTGTTTCTCCTTCTTTCCTGTAACTCTGCCTTTCAAATGAATCAGTAAGTCTTTAGGAAAAAAAATAAAATTTGTCACCACATATAAACCCGTTCTTCACTTACAGTCTTTTTATGAATTGAGGTCCTAGATACGAAAGATTTAAACTGCTATGTTGCTATGTCCTTTGTTTTGCAAAGGCATTAGACCAATTTTAATCTCTATTACTTTAATTTCCGTGGCGATTTTATTATCTACCAGTCCCTGTGAGGTGACTTTCTTCCCTAAAAACAGTGACTTTATTTACCCCTTCAACTGAACATTATTCAAATTCTAATTCTTCCTCTTCCTTTTGCCTCTCCCCATCTCATTCCTTTGCTCTCCTCTTACTGTCCTTCTCTTTCTTTTCATTTTCCTTACTTTTAAAATCTGTTTCCTAAGTTTGTGGTACCTAGAATAGATGTCTACTGGAATCTGGTATGGCCTTCCTTGTGGATTCTGGTTTCTCAAGTATGCTTTGGGCTTTCAGTGCATAGTGACCGAAAGTGAGTTTCTTTGCATACTGTGCAAGATTGTAATTCTTGATGGGAGCAGTGATTTGAGCCACTCATTGTGGTAGTGAGATGGCATTGTGTAAAACAAAAATCATTACATATTTTGGTAGAACTCTAGGATTTATTTTATCAAGTTGTCATTGGTGGAAATAGTGGGAATTCTGATTATTTAGGATTTCCAAATAATTAAATGACATTAACAATTAGAACATAATGTTTAATCATTTTGATTGAAAGTTTCTTTTTCTCAACTTTATTTTTATTGAAAGGCAGAGTGACAGAGACAGAGAAGAGAAAGAGAAAGAAATCTCCCATTTTCTGGTTCAACCCCCAGATTCCCACAAAAGCCAGGCCTGCCAGGCCAAAGTCAGGAGATCCACGTGGGTCTTCCAAGAGGGTGGTGTGGACTCAGCTAGTTGAGTCATCACCTGCTACCTTGCCAGGGTGCATATTAGCAGAAAGCTGGGTCAGAAGTAGAGGCAAGACTTGATCTCGGTTACAACTCGCCTGTTGCAGTTATACTCACCTGTTGAGTTACAGTAGATAATATGTAAATGAATGGGACTGGCAGTATTTCATTAAACTTTATTTATAAAAATAGTTGCTAGTAATGATTTGTCCAGTGAACCATAGTTTGCTGAAACTTAATTTAGAGGAATTTGTGCTGTTCTGGAATGACTGAGAATACTAGGTACCTGGATTCAATAGGTCAGAGTATTTTCCTGTTTACTGTGATTATAACATTTAATGTATCTGGGTTTTTCTTGCTGTTATAATAAAACTATGTTTTTGTAGTAGAAAAAAATACATAATGTAGTTACTGCCTTATGGGACTGATAACTTGTTCTTTTTACAAATAATTTATAATTTTTTAGTTTCATTAAATTTTTTGGCTTCTTTTAGACTTCTGAGAAGGAAATAATAAGTAAAGAACAAGGAAATGTAAAGGCAAAGGGAGCCTCTGATGTTGTTCTTTACAAAATTGACGTCCCTGCCAATAGATATGATCTCTTGTGTCTGGAAGGATTGGTTCGTGGTCTTCAGGTCTTCAAAGAAAGGTAAGGTTCATAAAATACTTTGCTATGTTGTATCTTTTTCTCTCTTCTCTTTGCATCCTGTTATCTACAGCTATGTTTAAGTCTCTAGAAAAAACAAAAAGTTTGTTGTGCTTGTACATGACTTTGGTCTGCCTAATAGAGTGAGATTTTGAAAATTTACCTGAACATTGGAGAACTGTTGCATTTATTTATTTATTTAAGATTTATTTTATTTATTTGAAAATCAGAGTTAGAGATATCTTCCTGGTTCACTTTCCAGATGGCAGCCCAGCCAAAGCCAGGAGCCAGGAGCTACTTCCAGGTCTTGCCTGTGGGTGATAGGGGTCCAAGCACTTGGGACATCCTCCACTGCTTTTCCTAGGTCGTTATCAGGGAGCTAGGTCAGAAGTGGAGCAGCTAGGACTCAAATGGGCACCCATATGGGATGCCGGTGTTGCAGGTGGCAGCTTTACCCACTATGCCATAATGCTGGCCCCTGGAGAACTATTTTAAAACTGGAAGTTAATGATATTATGGCTTTTTAGGAAATTGTTTAGCAAATTTGCGTAGTTTCCCTAAGTAATCTTATTGGAATGGATAGGCCATTGGATTTGTTAAAGTTTGGGAGGAATAGTAGAGGTACCACTACTTTAGGTGCATTTACTTTAAAAATTCTAAGGAAGCTCAGGAGTAGAGCTCCCTAACTAGAAATCTTGGGTGTGTTATGATGGGTATGATCTCTGGTAAATTAGCAGGTCTCTTTGGTTTCAATTTCCTAATTTATAGTGAGTCCAGCTCTTCCTTTAATAAATATAGTCTGTAATGAATATCTGAAGTGAAAAACATGAAAAAAATAGCTATCAAGAATAATTATTTTTGGTTTTGATTATTTGTATACATTATCTGATCAATAGCAAAAGAATACGAGCCTCTGGTTAATGGGCTAGTTTCTGAAATTCTGAAAGCATCACATGAATAGTGGATATTGGTGAAATGATGACAATTAGGCATTTGGTTTTGGTGGTTGGAATTTTGAGCTCAATCCACTTGGTTCCCTGCATGACAATTTTCAAATCCTTGTATTTTAGAGTCAAGGATAATCTTTTAGAGTAGGTTTTCTAAATCTGACTGATTGGAATCTATATGTTTAATAGGCACCTCATGTTAACTAGACAGAATTAGGAAAGTGATGTAAAATTGCTTAGTGTAGTCCATAGACCAGCAGCATCTCTATCTAAAATGCTGAACCTCATTCTTCATCCATTGAATCAGAATCTGAAGTTCAACAGACTCCCTGCTGATTGTAAGCACAGTGAAATTTGAGAAGCACTGCCTCAAAGAAGTTCCCAGTTTCTGTGATAAGAATTACCTGGAAGGACCAGTGCTTTGGTGTAGTGGGTAAAGCCACCGCCTGCAGCGCGACCATCCCTTATGAGTGCTGGGTCAAGTCCTAGCTGCTGCACTTCTGATCCAGCTCTCTGCTAGTGCTTCTGAGAAATCAGTGGAAGATGGCCCAAGTGTTTGGGCCCCTGCACCCACGTGGGAGACCTGGAAGAGGCTCCTGGCTGGGAACTGGCCTAGCTCCAGCTGTTGTAGCCATTTGGGGAGTAAACCAGTGAATCAGTGAATGGAAGATCTCTCTCTGTCTCTCATCTCACCCCCCAACTCTGCCTTTCAAATAAATAATCTAAAAAAAAAGAGAGAAAGAAAGAATTACCTGGAGATGCCTACAAAATATACCAGTTACCAAGGCCTCTGTCCCGAGTCAGTAGTTCCAGATAGGATCAGGGAATGTGTACTTTATTAAAAAATATTTATTTATTTATTTGAAAAAGTTACACATAGGAGAGACAGAGAGAGAGAGAGAGAGAGCGCTCTTCCATCCGCTGGTTCACTCCCCAATTGGCCGCAATGCCCAGAGCTGCGCTGATCCGAAGCCAGGAGCCGGGAGCTTCCTCTGGGTCTTCCCACATGGGGTAGGGGCCCAAGGACTTGGGCCATCTACTACCGCTTTCCCAGGCCATAGCAGAGAGCTGGATTGGAAATGGAGCAGCCAGATCTCGAACCAGTGCCCATATGGGATGCTGGCACTGCAGGAGGCGGTTTAACCCACTATGTCACAGTGCCGGCACCAGAATGCGTATTTTTAATAAGCCCTCATCTTTATAGAAGCTCAGAATTTCATAGTTGTAATAAAACTTAAAGATTGTTTAACAGTTACTTAATGGTTTTGTAACCTCTGTTGGGACTCTAGTGATGTTTGGAAACTCATTATCATGAAGCATCCTATACAGTTTTAGATAACATCATGTTAGAATTTTTTTAATATCCGAAGTTTGATTGGTTGTAACTCATTCCATTGTCCTAATTCTATTCTATTGATTTATAAGCATATTCTTTAATTAGTTTATCAAATATTTTCATTAATTTTGAATAGTTTTATTTAATATTATTTTAGGATAAAAGCTCCAGTATATAAACGGGTAATGCCTAAAGGAGAAATCCAAAAATTGACTTGCACAGAAGAGGTAATGAAGATAAATCTTTTCCTTCTAAAAATTATCGTGTATATGTATCTTTAAGGTGGGGAAAAAAGGTATAAAGCTGACCATTCTTAACAAATGTAATTGTCTTTGATCATTTGCTAAAATGGATACATACTTATTCTCTAGTGCTTAAAAAATGTCAGTCTATTTTTACCAATAAGTGAAAGAGAACAAAGTATCTATTTTCCATAAATAATTCTGGAAAATACCCAAATGTGTATTTTAAATACATCTGAGATGTAATTGTTTAAATTATGGTATATTAATAAACTTTTAAAAGATAAAATTTTGGAGATTATTTTGGTATAAATATGAACTATGAGCAAACTATTTGAAAAATATTTTTTTCTCAGTCACTTACTAAGTTTTCAGAGATCTTTCTGAAATGTAAATTCTATGAGGACAGCCTTTGTCTTTTATTCATCACTTCATTGTTGATTGAATAAATCAGGTTGAATAAATTGAATAAGTCAAATTGAATAAATACAGGTTGGAATGAAAACTTTCAACTGTCAACAGTGCCTTAATATTTACTATCTGTAATGATTTTATGACATGTAATCATGTTTCAGACAGCTAAAGTACGCCCTTTTGCGGTAGCAGCAGTTCTCCGGAATATAAAGTTTACTAAAGATCGATATGATAGTTTCATTGAACTTCAAGAGAAGTTACATCAGAATATTTGCAGGTTTGTGGTTTCATCTTGTTTCCTCCTTACCTCTCCCTCCTGCCCTCCCTCTCTCTCCCCATCCATCTGTCTTCCTTCTTCCTCTTGCCCTTTCTACCTTTCCTTTCTCTCTCCCTCTCTTCCTTTCTTTCTCCTCTGCCAATTTTTTTCAAGGCATTTCTAAACTAATAATATATGAAAGTAATCTTAACTGTGCTTTCTCAGATAGATAGTGCTTATAAATGGTATATGCATGAATAAATAGTAGCTATATTTTGAATACTACATAGGGAAGAATAATCTGGCCTTGGATTATTATTATTATTATTTTGGTTTATATCATCATTGGTGGATTACCCTACTGAGTGTAAACCATGGTAATTTGAAGTGTGATCTATTGTTTTAAAAATGGAAAAAATGTTTTTGACTTGATTCCACTTTTTTGAATGAGTATAATTATAAACGGACAAAACAAATTTAAATGACTGAATTTTACTTACTTTCTCCATCTTCACATCACAGCTCCTTTTAGTGCTGTGATCTTCAAACCCATAAAATTTCTGAACTCCTCAGGGTCAAGGAAGGCAGCAGTGGAAATCCTTGAACTAATACCATTTTTTCAAAAATGCTAATGGTAACTTTATATCAACGGATGATAAGAAACCTCAGGCTTACGCTAACATGTCAGGTTTCGTTGTGTTGGTCCTGAAATAAGTTACCTCAGGTTGATCGAGAGGTATATTGACAGTTACATATGTCTTGAATAAAAATAGAGAAAGGGATTTCTTCCTTAATAATTGTAATCTGGTAAGTTGTGGAAACTAGAAGGTGCTTATGTGCCTGGGATGGGCTAAGGACAGCATAGAGGAAATTTTCTTCTGTGGGGAAAAAGGCTTAAAAATCAAAATTACCCTTTGCAATTAACTCAGTGGTCTTCTTGTCATGAAACATTTGTGCTGCCAAGGTAGAAGCAACATTTTTTTCAGAAACTCAACGTTTATTCCCTAGTTTTTTAATATAAAATGAAACTATGTATTTCTATATATTAGCTTGTTAATATGTTAATATAATCCCATTAAGTCCTAAGATTTTATTTCTGTGCATTTTTCAGTAGCACTATTTATTTCAAAGTTACCATAAGTGGTATATTTATTGCTCAATTTGAGTACTTATAGGTGTCCTGTATTTAGGACAATGGGAAATATGAATTAAACAAAACACTAATAATTTAAACATAATATCTATGATGATATTGTTTCATTCCTGTATCTTTTTTCTTCTTTTTCCCTTGACCATTTATAGCTAAAGGATTATCAATTTTATTGACCTTTCAAAGAACCAACTTTTAGTTTCATTGATTTTTCTCTATTACTTTTTCCTCCATTTTCCTGTTTTTCATTGGTCAAGCAGTGCTCTTTCCAGGCCCAAGTAGTCCTTACCTTTGAGGCAAAACACTTTTTCTGCTCTACCTATTGCCTCACGGATAATGTCATTTTCAGTCTGTGAAGCGTGCAGCACTATTTCTAATACCCTTGGAGGGTAAATCTAGTCTCTGTTTTTCCATCTTTTTTAATTTTTTAATTTTTATTTTTTTAATCTCACCACGTGGAGCTTAACATGGTTTTTTTTTTTTTTTTTTTTACTTATTTATTTATTTGACAGAGTTAGACAGTGAGAGAGGGAGACAGAGAGAAAGGTCTTCCTTCCGTTGGTTCACCCCCTAAATGGCCGCTACGGCCGGAACTACGCCGATCCAAAGCCAAGAGCCAGGTGCTACCTCCTGGCCTCTCATGCGGGTGCAGGTGCCCAAGCACTTGGGCCATCCCCCACTGCCTTCCTGGGCCACAGCAGAGAGCTAGACTGGAAAAGGAGCAACCGGGACTAGCCCGGCGCCCATAAAGGATGCTGGCACCGCAGGAGGAGGATTAACCAAGTGAGCCACGGTGCCAACCCCATGTTTTTCCATATTGACTGCAAATGTGCAGTGATTTTTTTTTTTTTTTTGACAGACAGAGTTAGACAGTGAGAGAGAGAGAGAGGGAGAGAAAGGTCTTCCTTCCATTGATTCACCACCCAACTGGCCACTACGGCTGGTGCGCTGTGCCAATCTGAAGCCAGGAGCCAGGTGCTTTTCCTGGTCTCCCATGTGGGTGCGGGGCCCAAGCACTTACGCCATCCTCCACTGACTTCTTGGGCCATAGCAGAGAGCTGGACTGGAAGAGGAGCAACCAGGACTAGAACCCGGCGCCCCAACTGGGACTAGAACCCGGGGTACCTGCCCCGCAGGTGGAAGATTAGTTTAGTGAGCCATGGCGCCGGCCGAATTTTTTATTTCAGTTAATTTGATTTTCATTTCTAGAATCAATTTGGTTCCTTTTTTAGTTAGATCTCCATATCTAGGAGCCTTGCATCTGTGGGTCCAGTCAGATGTGGATGAAAATACTTGTAAAACACTTTTATACTTGTGTTAGATATGTCCATGCTTCTTTTTCTTATCTTTATTGCCTAAACAATATGCCGAGTATTTACATAGCATTTCCATTATATTAGATATTATAAGTAATTTAGAGATTATTTTAATTATATGGGAGGATGTGCTTAGGTTTCTTGAACACCCACAATTCGAGTATCTGCTGGGAAATCCTGCAACCAATTTCTTCTGGATCCTGAGGGCTGACTGTAGTTTCTCTTTGTCTACTGATAATTTTTTGTTATCGAGTCATTGTATGTGTATTTTTGTATTATTCTTGAACATTTTTTATAGTAATAGATTTAAAGTATGTGTTGCAGTGTCACAATCTGGGGCATCCTATTGTTTGTTTTCATGGACAGGTTTTGTCTGGAGTTGGATTTCCATGTTTCATCTCACATCTGCTGCTGTTTGATTGCACATAGAATATTGCAGGAGAGAAGTGGCTCTTGCTTTTGCTTTGTTTTTCTGAAGAGTAGCTTTTGGTCATGCAGGCAAAGACTCTTGAATACTTAGCTAGACTTGGACTCTAAACACTTGGCCGGACAAGACCTCTGCAGTTGGCAGCAGCTCCCATTTGTGCCCTGTGCTTTTCACTTTGCACTGCTGCTTTTTTACAGCAGGACTTCAAAATTTTTGCCAGTATAATGGATAAAATCTTGATATTTGACTATTTAGTTTAGTTTTTCTATATTTTTCTGTATTTTGAATGTTACTCCTTTTCTGTACATATGGTGAAAATATTTTCTGTCGATATATCTTTTTTTTTGTCTGACATTTGGAGTCTTCTGGATATATAAGGTTTTCAATTTGAATATAGTTAACTTTATCAGTCTTCCTTTGTGATTTTTATGTTTTGTGGCTTAAGAAGTAGTGTACTAATGTGCAGTTATATTCATCTATAGTTTTCTGAATAATTTTATGATGTCTTCTTATGTGTATATATGTATGCATGCATGTATGCTTTTCCCAAATGTGTAGCTCTTCAATTCATCTGGAGTTTATTTCTTTGTGATTTATTTAAAATTGAAAGTTTAGTGGTATTTTGAGGTAGTGTTTTAGGATTGAGGGACCAGTATTAATATCTAGGAAAACACATGGTTTTTTACCTGTAGATTTGAAAATTGTTAATTTTTCTTAACTTATTAAACTGTTTATTGCACAGTTTGTGGTAGTCTTGCATCTTATCTTCCATAAGCACGTGACTCTTTGAGTAAGGTACTTCCTTTTTGCCTTTCAGTAATTCTGTTCAGTTTGACCATATTTCTTAAATTTCTAGTTAAGTTTTGGAAGTTGACCAAAATTTAACATTGCACATTTTATCTGCTTCATGTATGTGTGTGATTATGTATAAGTAGTCATATAAATGTGGACATACATTTTGAAACCTATTTTAAGGAATCTTATAAACACAAATTTTGGTTAGATTTTTCTTTGAATTGACTAGTAGAAAGCTGAAAACCAAATCTGTGACACTCAAAAACTTAGATCTTTAAATTCTAATTTAATATTAAAATATCCTGGCTCTTTTTTATATCTGTACTTCTGTTTCTTTCCTTCTGCTTTATAGCTTGCTATTAATTCCTAAAATTACCTAAAATCTCATGTGGATTTACTGTGGGACAACTGAAATTAATAGCCTTTGAACTTTCCTTACATACTAAGCTTTAAATGTAATTCACAGCTCTTAAAATTCAAATTCAGTTTTTCGATGTAATATAGCTATGTAATAGAAAGATTAGGAAAATAGACAAAAGTCAAATAACATAGAAATTTGATAGTTTGTTCTAATAAACCAAGACAAAATAGATTAAAAGGAGGTAAAGATCCTGTGTCTGCTCTGTCTCTACCTTTCTATATCTTTGTCTTTCAAGTAAATAAATAAATCTTTAAAAAAAATGGAGGTCGGGCTGGCGCCGCCGCTCACTAGGCTAATCCTCCGCCTTGCGGCACCGGCACACCGGGTTCTAGTCCCGGTCGGGGTGCCGGATTCTGTCCTGGTTGCCCCTCTTCCAGGCCAGCTCTCTGCTGTGGCCAGGGAGTGCAGTGGAGGATGGCCCAAATCCTTGGGCCCTGCACCCGCATGGGAGACCAGGAGAAGCACCTGGCTCCTGCCATCGGATCATCGCGGTGCGTCGGCCGCAGCGTGCTGGCCGCAGCGGCCATTGGAGGGTGAACCAAAGACAAAAGGAAGACCTTTCTCTCTGTCTCTCTCTCACTCTGCCTGTCAAAAAAAAAAAAAAAGAAGAGGTAAAGGGAGTGCTGATTTTGAAGATGTCCTAGTAACATAGTACTTGGGAAAGCATAGTGGCAAGGATTTGATTTAGTTGCTGAAATAATATGTTGTAAGTAGATTTATAATTTCTCATTACTTTTTGTTATTGTGAAAAGCTTTTCGTCATATTCTACTGAAGTTGCTATGTAGTAACCCCAGGCTGTTTTGGAGAAGTATCTAAAATAATTTTAGACTTAGAGTTTGTGTTGTCTTTAGAATTTCTACTTTGGAATATTCAAATCTTTATGTCTCCTCTTCCATCCCCTTTCTTTTCTCTCCCTCTCTCAACATTTAGGAAAAGAGCATTGGTTGCTATTGGTGCCCATGATTTGGACACTTTATCAGGCCCGTTTATTTACACTGCGAAGCGTCCTTCACATATCAAATTCAAGCCTCTCAATAAGACTAAAGAGTATACAGCTTGTGAACTGATGAACATATACAAGGTAAATATTCTTTATCCAGTATTTTTGCTTGGTTCATGAAACTTCTTCAAAGACAAGCCTTGGAGTTAAGGAAATGTAATGTGCGCTTTTTAAAAAATAATTCAAAGTTCAACATATTGACATCTGATTTAGAGTAGAGGTTGAACCTAGCTTTGTTTTGTTTATCGTTACTTTTTTAGCTTGGGGTGGTTTAAATGATGTGTTATGGTTCAGAACCACTGAAATAGATCATACCACAATGTAATCTGAAATAGATCAGGGGGCCGGTGCCATGGTGCAGTAGGTTAATCCTCCGCCTGCGGTACCAGTATCCCATATGAGCGCCGGTTGTAGTCTGGGCTGCTCCTCTTCTAATCCAGCTCTTTGCTATGTCCTGGGAAAGCAGTAGAGGATGGCCCAAGTTCTTGGGCGCCTGTACCTGCATGGGAGACCAGGAAGAAGCTCCTGGCTCCTGGCTTTGGATTGGCGCAGCTCCAGCTGTTGAGGCCATTTGGGGAGTGAACCAATGGACAGAAGACATTTCTCTCTGTCTCTCCCTCTCTCTGTCTGTAACTCTACCTTTCAAATAAATAAATAAAATCTTTGAAAAAAATATCCTACCACATAGTCATATTTAGGTATAATTAATTGAAACTCATTAAAGTATAAGAAACAGTAAGTTTTTTTTTAATTTTTTTATTATTATTATTTTTTATTTTTTTGACAGGCAGAGTGGACAGTGAGAGAGAGAGACAGAGAGAAAGGTCTTCCTTTGCCGTTGGTTCACTCTCCAATGGCCGCCGCGGCCAGCGCGCTGCGGCCGGCGCACCGCGCTGATCCGATGGCAGGAGCCAGGTGCTTCTCCTGGTCTCCCATGCAGGTGCAGGGCCCAAGGACTTGGGCTATCCTCCACTGCTCTCCCTGGCCACAGCAGAGAGCTGGCCTGGAAGAGGGGCAACCGGGACAGAATCCGGCATCCCGACCGGGACTAGAACCCGGTGTGCCGGCACCGCAAGGCAGAGGATTAGCCTAGTGAGCCGCGGCGCCGGCCAGAAACAGTAAGATTTAACTAGCTGTGGCTTGTGTGTATGTGAAATACTATTACACAGTGTCTACTTCTTTTTAGAGTCCTACAGGGACAGTGAATTCAGTAGTCACTTTAAATTGCATGTATATAACAAATAGAAACTATAGAAATCATTTGGAAAAAACATCTGTATCCTTTGCCTGAATTTCAGGTGATTTGTCTTGTTTATCTATACACAGTTTTGTGATGGTTTGTGTTTTACTTCAGATTTTTGGGCATACTAGCGCAAATCTATTTTCACTCTTGAATAATGACTCTCTGTGTTCTCATCTTTCCCTAGTAGAATATGAGGCTCTATAAGAATGTTGAAATATTAATATATACTAGACAATCTTACAAATTTAGAGCTTTCTGCAATTTGGGACTGTTTAAATTTTCCTTACTCTATCCCCCCTTTTTTTCTTCCTTTTTTATATTAGATTGGTATGTAAGGTAATTGTAGTTGGCAAATAAAAAGCTAGGTTTTTCTAACAATTTTTTTCAGACTGACAACCACCTTAAACATTATTTACACATCATTGAAAATAAACCTCTGTACCCAGTTATCTATGATAGCAATGGTGTGGTCCTTTCAATGCCTCCAATCATCAATGGTGAGTTATTTCATAAGCACCGTGGAATTTTGCTGTTTCTTCTTATTCTTCAGCATTTCTATAGAATTTCAATTGTCTTGGCCCCGTCAAATCAGTTAGCTCTTAATCTGAGAATTTCAGACATTTTGTAGATTCTTTTTTTTTAGTAGTTTACTTACTCACTTTTTCAACAACCATTTTACTGGTAGCTTTTGTGTAATTTATAAAAGTGTAATTGTTTATAACTTATATAAATATTTTCTGATTGCAGTCTGTAGGTTCTATTATGTTACTCCAAGAGGTATTGATGCTTTAGTTTTAGCAAGTAATTCAGTTGGCTAAACTCAAAATCAAAATCTGTCTTACCTGTTGTTTTATAAACTTTTAGTCTAAATTTTGCCCTGTTAGTTTCTTTCTAAAGGCTATTTTTGTGAGGCAATTTAAATGTGTTTACAAAATGTAATGACATTTAAGCCATAGATGTTTGCCTCCTTGGAGGTGAGAGGGACGTTTGGTTTGATTTATGATGAGAAGGATTGTGCTCTCCTTCTCAAGATCTCTTGGGCTCTGGTTATAACCAGACGCGGACCCAGACGTGGATCTTAGCCTTGCTGCTTAATAGTGCGTGTTCATGGTCAAGTAGCTTCATCTCTTTGAATCTTAGTTGTCTCCCCTGTGGTCACATCATAGGGTTGCTGTGAGGCTAAAATGAGACAACTTACGCTAGGTGTTTGGCATAGCACCTGACATGTTGTATATACTCAGTGACTGCTAGTTATTACTGTATTCTCCAAGTTGCAATGATGGCTTAAAATAAAATGTTGCTTCTAAAGTGTAAGTTGATATTGTGTTTTAAATTTAAAATGTAGTTTCTGTGTTATTGAGCCCTGTATATTTTGTGTTCATTGTAGGGGAACATTCCAAAATAACAGTAAATACTAAAAATGTATTTATCGAATGCACAGGAACTGACTTTACTAAGGTAATTTAAACTGTTTTTTATTATTATACTACTGCACAGGATTGGGTTTTACTTTTGAGCCAAGACTGTGTGATTAATATTTAAAGTATGTTCATTTTGTCAGTGGGAGCATATTCTAGAAATTTAGAAAACTAAAAAGAACAGATATTCTGTACTTTGGTTATGCTGCTTTAATTAATTCGACAAATGTTTAATGAACACCTAATGCCTTTCCAGTGCCAGGAATTAATAATGAGTTCCATGTTTCTTGACTTCAAAGAATTCCTAGTCTAGTGGGAGAATTAGCCATTGACATAACTATAAAATGGAAAATGGAGTAAGTACTGAAATGAGATCTGTAAAAATTGTTCACTATAGTTGTCTCATTTTAAATGCTAAATAAGTTGATACCTTTGTGTCTTAGTAAAAAAATTAAAATATGAATTGACTATAAAGAAGTTTTATTTAGCAAATTGATGAAGGATTTATGCACACAATATCTAGAACATGTAAAATACTAGCTGTTCATTCTTGGTCACTATATATTTGGGTTGGGTTCCTATGAAAGCTTTTTCTATGGCATATAAATTCTTTGTACATGGGTAAGTAAAGCATAGAGTGAGATGGCATTAAGCAAATTAAGACAGGTAAACTCAAACGTCAGGAGAAGGCAGATGAATAGCATTTGTGTACATCTTGCAATATTAGGAGACCATTGTAGAGTTTTTCACTGATAACTTGTGTTGTCACTTTTACCTTCAGAAATAGGGTAATACAACTTTTAAAAAATATTTAATGTATTTAACAGACTTCCCCATGTTTCATGAAGCTTGTATGTGAGTGAAATATATAAGAACAAAATACATGTCTTAATAAGGTTGCTGTATTTTTTCCTATGAATGTGTTTTTCAATTTAAAAAAAATTTAGCAAACCTGCATGACTCTTAAGTATGTATGAGGTACTACTACTCTACATTTTTATATATGTTAATGTATTTAATCCTCGTAATCATAAAATGAGAGGCATTTTTATTATCTCCACTTAACAGATAAGAAAACTGAGGTACAAAGAGGATAAGTAGCTTATCCAGAGTTCCGCCATTACTAAGTAGTTGAGCCAGGATTCAAGTAGTCCAGCTTCAGAGTCTCATGAGATTGATAAGATTTGCTACAGTAATTAGCCATTTGTCTCTCTTTAAAGCTGGTAGACCTAAGGTTGGGAGTGAGGAAACTAAATGATTTGTCTCAGTCATGGATTGTAACTCTCAGAGAACTGCATAAATATGGAACACCTGAAGATAAGGACAGACCTACTCAGGTTTTCATTCCACTTCCCTTTGTAAAATGTAAATGTCGAAATCCACTTTTAAACGTTTGAGGACTAAATTATATAAGTATTAATGCATTTCCATTTGAGTGGAGAGAGTATATTTATAGATTACCATAATACTTGTTTTTTTTTCCTTTGCAGGCGAAAATAGTTCTTGATACTATTGTCACCATGTTCAGTGAATATTGTGAGAATCAGTTTACGTAAGTTTATTCAGCACTTCATTGATGGCCTGCTGTTCTGAAGGCATTAAGGCCTTGTGCTAACTATAAAGATAGCAACATGGTTCCTGTAATTAGAACATGCATAATATCTATTTAGGGAGATAAACATATATAATAAGCATGTGCACAAACAATATATATGAACTTCAAAATGTTTTGGTAATGTTCTGGCCATCTGTCAGGGCAAATTACTACTAGCCAAGGCAATCTGAGGAGGCCTCAAGGAGGCAATGAAGTTTAAGCTGTATTTAAGGATCATTGGATCTGAGAATGTAAAGGTGGAGGAACAACTGAACAAAGGTAGAGAAGCACGTACTCATGTAAGAGCAAAGCATGAATCCAATATATATCAGTAATATTTTTTCCAAAGCATATTTTTAATTAAAACTCTTTTTTGAAGATTTATTTATTTTTTGAAAGTCAGAGTTACGGGGCGGAGGGCAGGGAGAGCGAGAGGGAGAGAGGTCTTCCATCCACTGGTTCATTCACCAATTGGCCTCAGTGGCTGGAGCTGAGCCAATACAAAGCCAGGAGCCAGGAGCTTCTTCCAGATCTCCCACATGGGTACAGGGGCCCAAGGACTTGGACCCTCTTCTACTGCTTTCCCAGGCCATAGTAGAGAGCTGGAAAAAGTGGAACAGCTGGGTCTCATACCAGCGCACATATGGGATGCCGGCACTGCATGTGGTGGCCTTACCCACTATGCCACAGCCCCAGCCCCTTAATTAAAACTTTTATTTAACAAATCTTTATGACCTCTTACTGTGTATTACCATCATAGTGGTTTATCCTAGGGTATTAATGCTAATTCAGAGTAAGTGTGTTACCTGTAAAAAGTATGACTGAAATTAGATGGGCAGTATCATTTGGTTTTTTTTTTTTTTTTTTTTTAGTGAATTGATTTGCATTTTCAGTGATTGTATCAGTTAACTTTTGTTGCGTAGCACACTACCTTGGTAAAGCTCAGAATGTATATGTCAATATTGGCAAGGAGTCCATGTAGAAAATATGCTTTGCTGTACTGGGAAGTAAATGTTTTGAGTGAACACTGCCCGAAGGGATATGGGAGCCATAGAAGATGGACTGGTAGAGTAATATTGTATACAGGAAGATCAATCCAAGCAACAAGGTTGAGAAGTGATAGATTGACTTCACTGAGGCATTAGTTGTTGATAAATGAAAGATTTGTTAACCATACACACATTTCTAGAATTTATGGCCCATATTTTTTCCCCTAAAGTATTTTATTTCTGTTTTTTTTTACCCCTAGGGTTGAAGCAACTGAGGTTGTTTTTCCTAATCGAAAATCACACACCTTTCCAGTAAGTATTTCAAAGTGATTTGATGATGATGATGATGATGGTAATACTAATGATAATGACTCTTGAGTGCTTGTGTTCTCTCTGGCTGTCTGGTCTTCTACCCTTATGCTATGGGCTGTACTCTTATTGCTCTCACTCTGATGCCAGGCAGTAGACTCTCATTCTTTACATGAAGTCAGTTCTCAGAATAACTCTGTGAGAGTAGGTGCCATTGTTATGCCTTTTCTAGATGGAGATCCTGAAACCTTGAGATGTTAAATAGCTTATCTGTTACTGTCAAGTGATGGGGCTAGGATCAATGTTCAGGCAATCTGATTTCAGCTGCCAAAACAGTATTATACAGCAACATTATAAGACCATATTTCCTGTGATTTATTTACTAGTTTTCTGGGTAGTCTGTAGTTTCACCCCTTTGAATATAATTTAGCCCTTCAAATCTAATTAGTCTGTTTATTACTTCTGCTGTAGGCCATCACTATAATGAATAAATTAAAAAATACTAATAAGACTAATTTAGTAGTAAGTGCAGTTATTGTCAAGACATTAGTTCTTTATTAAAAAAAATATAAACCAGTATTATTTGTCTTTTGTTTTTTAATTTATTTGAAAGGGCAGGGTTAGAGAGAGAGAGAGAGAAGCCTTCCATTCACTGTTTCACTCCCCAGATGGCTGCAACAGCCAGGGCTGGGCCAGGACAAAGCCAGAAGCTAGGAGCTTCATCCAGGTCTTCCATATGGGTGCAGGGGTCCATACACTTGGACCATCTTCCACTGCCTTCCCAGGTGCATTAGCAGGGAGCTGGATCAGAAGTGGAGCAGCCAGGACTCAAACTGGCACCCAAATGGGATGCTAGCACTGCAGGTAGAAGTTTAACCTTCTGCCTCACAGTGCCAGCCCCAAAACCAGTATTATTTTTAATTGACTGGACTTTTCCCCCAGTATCACTTGATATAAATATGGCCTTTTTTTTTTTTTAAGGTTTTAAGCTTTTTATTCAGTGAAAGAAATGTATAGGAGAGTGAGGGCCCTATCTAAAAGAGAGAGGGAAATCTGTATTCATACCGAATATCAGGAGCCAGCCACGTGGAGGAGCATGCAGGCCAGGAAGCATGGGGTGGGTGGCTTGAGGGCCATGTGCCCTGGAGGCACAGGGCAGCGTGGGCCCACACTGGCAAAAGGCCAAAAAGAAGGACTGGATACACCTTGTCCAGGCTTTTAATCCACTTCCAAAGGGGAGTGTTTAATTAACCTGATTGGCCAGTGGGCACAAAGGTGTGGCCAGGTAGTAGCATGAGGTCACACAAGGGCATGGTGAAGGTGTGGTCTTCCAGCTCACAAACCTGATCAATTTTATCCTGCATCCCTGCCTACATCATTCCCCCTTCAGAGACTCCATTCTCTTAATCCTAAGGAATGTTGAAGGACATAGAATCATCCATTTTTTGTAGCTGCTTCCTGCTTATGAGGGGTGTAGTGGAGGCCCTGCCTGTCTGGGGTCTGGAAGTCTCTGTCTATCTTATCTAACAGATTTGCTTTGTGAGCTGGAGCAGTCTCCGTCACCACCAATGTCTGTGTCCCCTGTATGGTCAGTTACTCCCTGCAGTCGAGTTCTGAAACATGTAAGTTTGTTAATTAGCAAAGGCAAAATGGGAACAAAACCAACTGTGAATAGCATGCCCCATAAGATGAAAAGAATGTATCTTACAGACTCCCAGATAGTTGGGGTGATAGGCTACCCTTATGTACATTATAAACCCATTTAGCTTGAGTGGAGAGAACTAAAATAGAAGAATCCATTAGGAATATTATTATCAATAACAATACCCAGAAAGAATCAAGAGAGGCATGTACAGCATGTTTGCCTTAAGGTGAAGAAGTCTTGACGTGACAAAGGCAAAAGCTTTACTTATCCTTTTAGCCTTGAAGAGGTACTTAAGGTCTTTGATTGGTTTACAGAAATAATCAGGCTTGTCTTTTGAGTTCACCTGTGAAGGCATAAGAGGTAGCAGTTTAATGCTAATTGTACTGAGTTAGTCATGCTCAGTAGCACCTGGGAAGGTCCCTTTCATTTAAGCTGAAGCTGATCTGAAGACGATCTGTCTATGAATGGCTTGCTCAGGAATTCCTAATGTTGGAGTTTTTGTCAAAAACTCCTTAATTCCTTGGAACATCTTCTGTAGCTCCCCTGTCCAGCACAATGTGTCAGGGGCTTTTTAAGCAAATACAAGGCTTAGAATCCAAATCCTGGAATCCATACTCCACGGAATCCTGTCATCAGCAATTTCCAATGTCGGACCTTTAGTTAGAAGCTCCTTAGTTCTCTGGAACAACTTTTGTAGCTACCCTTTACAGCACATTGTCTGCATCAGGGTGTTTTTAAAGCTATATACAGGGGCTGGCACTATGGCACAGCAGGTTAAAGCCCTGGCCGGAAGTGCGGCATCCCATTTGGGTGTGTGTTCCTTTCCTGGCTGCTCCACTTCTGATCTAGCTCTCTGCTATGGCTTGGGATAGCAGTAGAAGATGGCCCAAGTCCTTGGGCCACGCACCCATGTGGGAGACCGGGAAGAAGCTCCTGGCTCCCAGCTTCGGATTGGCGCGGCTCCATCTGTTGCGGACATCTGGGGATTGAGCCACAGATAGAAGACTTCTCTTTGTCTCTATCTCTTTCTGTAACTCTTTCAAATAAATAAATTTTTTTAAAAAGATAAACTAGAATGTTTTTAAAAAAAGCTATATTCAAAAGCTTGGGATCCAAATCTTGGAATCCATATTCCACAGAATCTTGCCGTTCCCAGAAATATCCTTGGCTGCCTTTTAAATGTTGGACCTTATTTAAGACATATGAGACATGCATCCAAGAGTTCATGTTTGAGGCATTTAACTTTAAACAAACATCTAAGATTACAGGCAATGGAGTTTGACACTTAGACATAACTAGAACTTACGATGAGTAAGAATATAACACACTAGAATAAAGTAAATCTTTGGGATCAAGTTTTACCATTAATGTTACTACTGTAGCTCTTTGAGAATAGAGATCCTGCATGGGAAGTTAGTACACAGTGACTCCTGTTTTTTAATTTAAGAATTAACACTCTTACGTGTGACATCAGTAATCACCCAAGGCTCTTGACATGAGCTGCCTAGGCTATGGAAGCCTTCTGAATCCACAAACTCCGTCAGTATTCAGACAAGGCCAAAAGCAAAGTGGAAGTTCTCTCCTTCCGAAGAAAAGTACATCCTTCTTTGATGACTGCTCCTTTCCACTGGGGTTTCACCCGGGGAAGTCCTCCATGTAGGAACACTTTTTGCGTGAGTGTCTTGGCTTTCCATACCTGAAATGCTCTTGTGGGCTTTTTAGCCAGACCAGAATGCCTTTAGGACTGACTCTGAGGTCACTGAGTGCTACTTAAAGTGATTGCCATTCTATTAGTCTGCTGTATGGACTCCTTCCCATGTTGGAACATTCACTCCTCTTTAATTCTATTTATTATTAGCAGTAGGCAATTAATCCTATTGACATGATCACTTTAACACTTAATCCCACCTATATGATCACTTTAAGAGTTAAGATGTTACCATTACCAGGGCCCAAACCGTGGCTCACTTGGTTAATCCTCCGCGCCTGTGGCACCAACATCCCATGTGGGCGCCGGGTTCTAGTCCCTGTTGCTCCTCTTCCAGTCCAGCTCTCTGCTGTGGCTTGGGAAGGCAGTGGAGGATGGCCCAGGTGCTTGGGCCCTGCACCCCATGGGAGACCAGGAGGAAGCACCTGAATCCTGGCTTCGGATCAGCACAGCGCCGGCCGTAGCGGCCATTTGGGGAGTGAACCAACGGAAGGAAGACCTTTTTCTCTCTTTTTTTTTTTTTTTTTTTTTTTTGACAGGCAGAGTGGACAGTGAGAGAGAGAGACAGAGAGAGAAAGGTCTTCCTTTGCCGTTGGTTCACCCTCCAATGGCCGCCGCTGCAGCCGGCGCACCGCGCTGATCCTGGCAGGAGCCAGGAGCCAGGTGCTTTTCCTGGTCTCCCATGGGGTGCAGGGCCCAAGCACCTGGGCCATCCTCCACTGCACTCCCTGGCCATAGCAGAGAGCTGGCCTGGAAGAGGGGCAACCGGGACAGAATCCGGCGCCCCAACCGGGACTAGAACCCGGTGTGCCGGCGCCGCAAGGTGGAGGATTAGCCTATTGAGCCACGGCGCCGGCTAGAAGACCTTTTTCTCTGTCTCTCTCTCTCACTGTCTAACTCTGCCTGTCCAAAAAAAAAAAAAAAGTTACCATTACTATCTAGCCCAAGGGGATTTGGAATCCCATGGCAAGTTTTAAACTGTACCCTTAGAAGTCAGGCCGTAGGAATGATGTACAGCTATACAGTCTCTCTGTAGGACCTGAGAAAATAAAAACAGACACAACTTTTCACGAGCTTAATTATCCTTAAGCATTTCACGTGGAAACATTGCAGTAGTTATAACTCCTTAAGCATGTGCTAAGCAATTTCTGTTCTGTAATATAAATCAAGGTTGCAGAGAATAATCATCCTTTCTTAGGAGTCCTTAGTAATTCCATCTAGTCTAAGGGCCTCCCAGTTATTAAGTATAGATCTTAAGGGAGTTTCTACAGGAGCAGATGTAGAGCTATCCACAGTTAAATCACCTTGTAACCTGGGGAGACAGGAGGTAAATAGGGCTAAGCTTGGGCCCAGTTATACCTCTGAACATGTGTCTTAACAAGTAATTTGACATCCCAGAGTTACTATACCTGTTATAGAGCTTAATATATTTACACCACCGTGGGGTATCATATCTCAGGGGTTGCTAAAACCAGCCTAAGGCCAAAATAAGAAAGCATGTCCGCTAGGAGGCCAAAATAATTAATTAACATAAGAAAAAGAGTCAGCTTAGAGGCCAAAAAAACAAAACAGACCCCTGGAGGCTACCATCAGCTCAGAGGCCAAAATAATAAATTAACATAAGAAAAGGATTCAACTTGCAAAGGCTAACAAAACAAATTTTTAAAAAAGCGTAATTTAATATATATCACTCTATTACAGGCATGTGGTATGTGGTGGGCCATGGGGGCAACTATCTTGGAGTGGAGTCTGTTGAACATGGCCATTTTAAATCATGATGGAAGGCACCGGCCTTTAGTCTGTTTTAAATCTGGTTTGAGAAAACTTTCTTTTTAATATGAAGAATTGTCAAGTGTTAATAAAAATGAATATGTTCTTTTGGAAAGAAAAGAAGAAATGTGCTTTAAAATTTGGTTCGATCTTTTCCTCATGGAGATAATTCCCTCAACATTTATTTTATTTTTTTTTAACTTTTATTTAATGAATATAAATTTCCAAAGTACGACTTATGGATTACAATGGCTTCCCCCCAATACCGTCCCTCCCACCCACAACCCTCCCCTTTCCCACTCCCTCTCCCCTTCCATTCACATCAAGATTCATTTTCGATTATCTTAATATACAGAAGATCAGCTTAGTATACATTAAGTAAGGATTTCAACAGTTTGCTCCCACACAGAAACATAAAGTGAAAAATAATAGATGATTTTTTTTAAATGATGATGAAATCAGATCAGACCTATTGTCATGTTTAATCCCAGTGAGAGTCAAGTTGGGAATTGATAATTTCTTTTTTTTTTTTTTACAGAAGATCAGTTTAGTATGCATTAAGTAAAGATTTCAACAGTTTGCATCCCCATAGAAACACAAAGTGAAATATATTGTTTGAGTACTCATTATAGCATTAAATCTCAATGTACAGCACATTAAGGACAGAGATCCTACATGAGGAGTAAGTGCACAGTGCCTCAACATTTGTATTAAGAGAATTTTCATAATTTTGAAATGGTGGGCTTTCAGAGCAGAAGTACTACACAGGTGTTTGGGCATTTGTTAATTTATTTCCTTCTAAACTTCAATTAGAACAGCTCTTCAAAAGTTGTCCTCCAAAAAGGGAGGGTCCTTTGGGGGAAACTGAGTCTTCCTGACATCAGACAGCTTATTTTCCCAAACACTTTGGATGTTCTTTTCTAGTCTTTTATTTTATAGAAGAGAATAAAGTTTTGGAATAAGAGAACTAGAGGAGGTAAGATGGAGGTGGTCAGGGAGACTAATGGTTAATGATGTGTGCTTTAGGCCGGCGCCGCTGCTCACTAGGCTAATCCTCCGCCTAGCAGCGCTGGCACACCGGGTTCTAGTCCCGATCGGGGTGCCGGATTCTGTCCCGGTTGCCCGTCTTCCAGGCCAGCTCTCTGCTGTGGCCAGGGAGTGCAGGGGAGGATGGCCCAGGTGCTTGGGCTCTGCACCCCATGGGAGACCAGGAAAAGCACCTGGCTCCTGGCTCCTGCCATCGGATCAGCGCGGTGTGCCGGCCGCAGCGCGCCGGCCGCGGCGGCCATTGGAGGGTGAACCAACGGCAAAGGAAGACCTTTCTCTCTCTCTCTCTCTCTCTCACTATCCACTCTGCCTGTCAAAAAAAAAAAAAAAAAAGTGTGCTTTAGAATTAGGCTCTCTCAATTTGTTTATTAATTCAGTAGTTTATTCATTAATTACTTCATGCATGCATATACTTACTCTTTAAATATATACCAGATGTGTATTATCTGATAAGCTTTTGACTAAGCACTGGAAATACTGTGATACTTTGGCTCCTAGCTTGCCATCGTGGTGGCCTAGGGCTTGTTGTTGGATAAGATTATCTTAAGAGTGTGTCTTGTATTGTTAAGCTCATAGTAGCTAAGCAGTAGATTTGTTGTTACTCTTACTGTGCTTAGCATTGTCCGGTGCTTGCCATGGACCTCTTTGCATCCACATCACATGGAGGCCTTGATAACCTGAGGCTGGGCTTTTTCGCTCTGGAGCCATTACCACCAGCTATAAAGACCTGAAATCTGCCCTTCTCATAGCACATAAGTGGCGTTGATACTTCTGTCCTTGGACTGCATTTTGAGTAGCAAAGCTATGGCCCATTGCCCTTCCTTGAATCAAAGCAGGTCTTTAAAATTTAGACTTTTTTTGCTAGTGACAGTTATACTTTTGAGAGGAATTTACTAAAAATAACCATAAGTTTGTTTCTAAAAGTGCTAAAAAGCCTGGATTTTGAGTGTGTTTGTCCTCACCTCGTATGGTAGACTTATGACCTGTTTGAAGGAGAATGAGTACCAATTTATGAGCTACTTGTACCTCTGCTGACTCCTGAAGGAAATTGATATCCAGGAGCATCATTGCATTTACCTGGGATGTGGTAGCAAAAAAAAATGCTTTCTTAAGAATTCTATACTCAGTGTGATGAGTAAAAGTACATTATGACACTTGAATTATTTCTTGGTCATACCTCCCTGCTTGCATGAGATGAGACTGAAAATCTTTAGCAGGATTTATAAACATCTTAGTAATGCTGTAATATAACAGCATTTTACTGCAAGGAACAGGGATTGACCATCTAAAAGAGAAATGTGACATTTTCTTTTTTATTATTATTATTATTATTATTTTTGACAGGCAGAGTGGACAGTGAGAGAGAGAGACAGAGAGAAAGGTCTTCCTTTGCCATTGGTTCACCCTCCAATGGCCGCCACGGCTGGCGTGCTGCGATAGGCGCACCGCGCTGATCCGAAACCAGGAGCCAGGTGCTTCTCCTGGTCTCCCATGCGGGTGCAGGGCCCAAGCACTTGGGCCATCCTCCACTGCACTCCCTGGCCACAGCAGAGAGCTGGCCTGGAAGAGGAGCAACCGGGACAGAATCCGGCCCCCCGACCGGGACTAGAACCCGGTGTGCTGGTGCCGCAAGGTGGAGGATTAGCCTAGTGAGCCATGGCACCGGCCATGAAATGTGACATTTTCTAAGCAATACAAAATGTCTAGTGAGTAGAATGTTCATATGTGAATCTAATTTAGCAAATCTGTTCCTCCATAATAACATTTTGAAATACCAAGTTTCTTTTCTTTTTTTTTTTTTAGATTTATTTGAAAGTCAGAGTTACACAGAGAGAGGAGAGGCAGAGAAAGAGAGAGAGAGGTCTTCCATCCGATGGTTCACTCCCCAATTGGCCACAACAGCAGGAGCCAGGAGCCAGGAGCTTCTGCTGGGTCTCCCACGCAGGTGCAGGGGCCCAAGGCCTTGGGCCATCTTCTACTGCTTTCCCAGGCCATGGCAGAGAGCTGGATCCGAAGTGGAGCAGCTGGGTCTTGAACTAGCGCCTATATGGAATGTCAGCACTTCAGGCCAGGGCGTTAACCCACTGAGCCACAGCGCTGGCCCCCCAAGTTTATTTTCAAACTGTGGTTCTAATGATGGTTTGTTGGATGGGTAATAAAAATGTAACAATTCATTGAATTAGAAAAAATCTAAAGCTGTCTCTGATGGGGAATGATTTAGGCTTTTCAAACTGTTTTTCTCTTTAAGGAATTGGCTTATCGAAAGGAGATGGTAAGAGCTGATCTGATTAACAAGAAAGTAGGCATCAGGTATGCACTGACAACTTCATTTATTTATTTACTGTTGGGAGGGAATTGAAGACAAAGTACACATAAGAGTATTTAATTTTTCCTGAGAGAATGCTTATATGGGGTTTTGGTATACTTCAGACTAAGTTAAGAAGTGATAGAGCATCAGTTAGGGTGTCTGGGGTCTAATGGGCTCAGAAAGAAAGCTATTGAAATATCAGGTAGCAGCATATTTTATAACAACATATAAACATGTTTTAAATAATCCAGAGAAGTTCATAGTTTGTACATTACTATTTCAGAGAAACTCCAGAAAATCTTGCCAAGCTTTTGACCAGGATGTGTTTAAAGTCAGAAGTCATAGGTGATGGGAATCAGATTGAGGTTGAAATCCCTCCGACCAGAGCTGACATTATCCATGCATGTGATATTGTAGAAGATGCAGCTATTGCTTATGGATATAACAACATTCAGATGACTCTTCCGAAAACATACACCATAGCTAATCAAGTAAGATTGCACCCTTAAATAAACACTCCTTATTGTTAGAAACTGATTATTGAATGCCAGGAAGACTTCGAGGAAAACAGAACATAGGAATTAAGCAATATTTGGACATGCTTTGCTTTGGGAAGCATTTGCTATGGAGAGGATACAAAACAGATGCCCAAATGATTAGACTAAGTTGAAAACCTGTGATGACTATTTCTTTGAAGAAAGACAGGGTTTGAGTTTGGAGCCTTTGTTGACTCTTTAACTGGAAGATTAATTTTCTGAAGGCCGAAGTTCGGGGAGAGAGGAGGTATATATCTGTGTAAAAGAAAAGTGTTGGTGGGGAGATGGTGGTATTAACAATATTTTAGGAAGGGTGATTTTCTTTTAGTGATGTGGCCTGCATAAATTTCTTTTTAAAAAATAAGAAATTTTATGAGTGAAATAAAGTGAATTTCATTTTTTTCTCAGTTTCCTCTTAATAAGCTCACTGAACTTCTCAGACATGACATGGCAGCTGCTGGATTCACTGAAGCACTCACCTTTGCTCTGGTATGTGTTACGTGTACCTCCTGTTCAGCTGATTGCTTATTTTGAATTTCTGAATCACTTCTTATTTGATTTCTTATATGAATTTAAAAAAAAATCTATAACATTAGATTAACATTTCCAGATTCTAGAAGAAAAGCTTTGTTGCTTGAAGCTATACAATGTATGGTAAAGAAATGTTGAAGCATTTCTTTTTATAGACACAGAAGAATATGAAGTCTTAGAAAAAATGTCTTAAATGACAAAAGACAAAGTATTTAATAGTTTCGTGTAAGTATTGAGGGTTCACAATGAATTTCATAACCCAATATATTAAGTTAGAGTATTTGGTCTTAATTTGGTTGTGGCTGTGCCCACTAGATGCCGCCCTGGTTAAGGTCTTGCAGACTGTTCCACATTAAACTTATTTCTTTGTCTTTGAACATATTCACAGACATTTGCTTTGAGTTGAAAAGCTGACATAAAAGGCCTAAATCAGGAAATGAATTTTATTACAAAATCAGAAGGAGCTCTCCCTCCCCCACCAGACTGACCATTTGAAAGAATAAAATGTGTATGCAATTTGTATTTCCTTTTTTTCTCTTGCTGAGCATTTCTGTGGTGCCTGCAGTGTAGTTTTTAGTATTCAAGTAAATTTCTATATAATAGCTCTTTTTTTTTTTTTTTTTCAAATAATTACTTCTCATTTTCTTCCCCAGCTGAATCCTGACCTTAAAATTCTCAATCTTCTGGAGTATCTCAGAGACTGCAGGTCTTCCAGTTTAACACTTTGATTTTTCTGATTCAGCAGTCATTCATTCGCCATTTGTTGACCATCTATTTTATGCCGGGCACTGTACCAGGGAGGAAGCCTGAGCTGACAGGGGATAGCTACTTAACAAATTGCACACAGGCAGTAGCAGAATTAGGACCAGAATCCCGGCCTTTCGATTCCTGGAGCAGTGCTTTTCCATTGTCCCATCCTGTGTACTCCCAGTTTGTAGTTACGAGTTATTCATATACACATATCTGTTTATAGTGCCAACCATCCATAAGTTCATGTCAATTGAAATACAAAAACTGCTATTAAAACTTTGGCCTGTAATTTTCTCTGCCCTTTTGTATCAGTAGTACAGATTGACTGCGCCTTTTTAGCTCCATGCATATTTGGAGGTGCATACTGACAAGTCTACAGGGAGTGTTTTCACTGTGTCAGGGGATTTATGTACATAATCCCATTTCTTCTCAGTACAGCCTTGTGAAACAGACATTCCTGTCCCACTCTGTAACTAGAAGGTATGGGACAGGGATTCTCACCCAAGTCTGTCAGCATCCAAGGCCTATGACTAAACTGTCACACAGGGATGTAGGAACAGATGTTCATCTGTCCAGTGTCACTTTAACATATTCATTATCCCTGGGGAGTGATCGGGGAGTGAGGTAGAGGGTTTCAGATTTCAAATAACGGTTTTCCTGTAGGAATTTCAGCATTAAATGTACTTATAAAGCAAAGACAGTCTATGTTGTTACATTAGTTTTGTACAATAATAACAGCCATTCTTTTTATAAATCTAGTCTTTGACTTCTCAAATATTTGTAATTCGCATCTCATTATTTTGATTTATCTTTTGTGTACTAGTTACAATTTTTCTTAAATTGACTGATTTTTAAAGCTAAATCTTTGCTTTAGCCTTAGTATATGAATAATATCCATAAAAATTATGGGTTTCAATTACTTGTTACAGATTTTCTGGCACATTAAAATAAACACAAAAATATGAACACTTAAAAAATATTCCTTCCTGTGTACCAGCTGCTGCCATTTCAGGATAAAACTTGATTGATACTGCCTTTTATTACTCTGACTTCTTGTCCATCACCGTGGGAAAGCACAGGATCCCTCAGATACAAGGCAGCATTGCTTTGTTTGTGAATCTCTTAAACAGATGTTACTGGTTCTTAAAATGGATTATGTCATGTATATTGCGTTTTTAATTGATCACATTTTATCTGAATCGTGTTGAAAGAACTCTGTACTGTGGGGAAAATACTTAGCTCTACATGCCAGTCACTTTGTTTGACCTCTGCAGCCATAGCAGATCAGGAACTCTTTTGTGGCTGGATATGGCTTCAAGATCTTTCCCAAGACAACATGGCAGGAATCATTAGAATTGACACTGGCATAAAGTGAATTATTTTTACTATTTCACTTATTGCCATTCTTTTTCTCTAAGTGAAATTCAGGCCACCTAGTCTATGAAGACCATTTTGTAGAAGAGAACAATGAACAATATTGCAAAATAGTAATCTGATGGCACATCAGTTTTCATGTTAACTTTTAATTCTTTTTGTAAAAAGTCATCATTAAGGAGTGGGCATTTGACCTAGCAGTTTAGATATGCACATCTCATATTAGAGTGCCTGCACTGAGTTCTGGCTCCACTCCCAAATCCAGTTTCCTGTTAATGTGTACCCTGGGAGACAGCAGCTCAAGTATCTGAGTCCCTGACACCCATATGGGAGACCGGAATTGAATTTACAGTTCCTGGCTTTTGGTCATTTGGGAAATGAACTAACAGATAAGCTATTCTCTCTTGTTCTTTCTCTCTCTGTCTGTCTCTGTCTCTCACATTTAAAGGAGAATCAAGTGACTATTAATATATTTAATAGTTATTTCTCTTTAGTTCTCATTAGTTGATGTGGATATATTTTGAGTACTAACTCTGTGCTAGACTCTGCACTTGCATTATTTTTTAAAATTATTTTTCTTGGGGGCTGCTGCTGTGGCGTAGCCGGTAAAGCTGCTGCCTGCAGTGCTGGCATCCCATATGGGTGCCGGTTCAAGTCCTGGCTGCTCCACTTCCATCCAGCTCTATGCTATGGCCTGGGAAAGCAGTGGAAGATGGCCCAAGTCCGTGGGCCCCTGCACCTGCGTGGGAGACCCGGAAGAAGCTCCTGGCTGCTGGCTTCAGATTGGCACAGTTTCAGCCTTTGCAGCCAATTGGGGAATGAACCAGCGGTTGGAAGACCTCTCTTTCTCTCTGCCTCTCCTTCTCTGTGTAACTCTGCCTCTCAAATAAATAAATAAATCTTTAAAAATTTATTTTATTTATTTATTTGAGAGGCAGAGTTACTGGGGGGCAGGTGTGGAGGTGAGGCAGAAATCTCCCGTCTGCTAATTCACTCCCCAAATGGCGGCAACACTGAGGACTAGGTCAGACTGAAGCCAGAAGCCAGGACCTTCATCTAGGTCTCCCAGGTGGATGACAAGGAACCAAACATGTGGGTCATCTTCCTCTACTTTCCCAGATGCATTAGCAGGGTGCTGGATCAGAAGTGGAGCAGTCAGGAATTGAACTGGTGCCCATATGGGTTGCCAGTGGCTTAACTCGGTACATCACATCAACCCGTTGCAATTTTTTTTTTTTTTTGCTTTATGTTTTTATCTCATTTATTATTAGACTTGATAGATCTAATAGTCAGTAGGCTTTCTTTTCTTGCTTTTGAATTTTCTATTGAGCAGTTTTATAATTAATAAGCTTCCTCACACAAATGTAACTGTGCTAGAACTGTTTGGACTCAGATCAGCCTCTTCTACACTGACTTAATCTTTATAATAATATTTTTTTCTCAAAGATATATTATTTCTTACTGATTTGAACTCATTATGCCAAATGCCCAAGAGCCGCGGCTGGGCTGGAGCTAAAGCTAGGAGCTGGGAATGTAATCCAGGTTTCCCATGTGAGTAGCAGGAATCCAATTACTTGAGCTACTGTTGCTGCCTGCCAGCATCTACATTGGCAAGCAACTGGAGTCAGCAGCCAGGAATCAAATCCAGACTCTCCAGTGCGGGACACAGACCAAATCTTAACCATTCGTTTAAATGCCCACCCCAAGATTTTAAATGTTGACCTCTCTCATCTTTGTTTTTTGAGGGTGACAGCATCTCTTCTCTTTTTAGTGTGTTGTGACTTGGAGCTTCATCAAGCATGCGCACAGAAGTTAAATGGTTTAGAGTAGAAAGAACACTGGGCAGAATTCAGACCACTTGGATTCTGCTCTCAGTCCTGCGATTGTAACACCAGTCGAAAAGGAGTTAGCATAGGTCGCAGTGATAGTCAAAACAGAAAGCAATGGGAATAACAAAAGAGAGAAAGTTTCTTACTGAAGTCATTAGGGATATTTTTATGTAAGAGGTGGAAGAAATGCCATTTGAGTGGCACCTCAGGGAATTGCAGCCAGGGAACAGGGAGGGCATTTCAGGTAAAAATAGGGAAACTACAGGAAAATAGACTGGAAAGGTAAATTGGGAAGGAGGATAGCTTAGGGAGGGCTTGGGAACAAGTTATATTACCATCTGTCTGTGGAAAATTTAGTTTAGTTCTCTATCATGGTTAGAATGCATCAAAAAAGAACTGCTAATGTTCACTTGCTGTGAGTTTGAATTTAATGTATGTTTGTTCTTAGCTTATTCTTACCTTACTTATTTATGTAGAGAATACACATTGCTGTAATGTTATATGTTGACTGACAGCATGAATGCTTTTTGTATTAAATGCAGTCATTTCTTTTCCATATTGATCTGTTTTGTCTATACTTTCTCAGTGCTCCCAAGAAGATATTGCTGATAAACTCGGTTTGGATATTTCTGCAACAAAGGCAGTACACATAAGTAATCCTAAAACAGCAGAATTTCAGGTAATATTTTTTTAAAGATTTATTTATTTTACTTGAAAGGGAGAGTTACAGAGACACAGAGAGAGAGAGAGATGGAGAGAGAGGTCTTTGATCTACTGGTTCACTCCTCAAATGGCTGAAATGGCTGGAGCTGGGCTGGTCCAAAATCAGGAACCAGGAGCTTTCTCCAGGTCTCCTACATGGTTTCATGGGCCCAAGCACTTGGATCATCCCCTGCTGCTTTCCCAGGCACATTAGCAGAGAGCTCGATTGGAAATGGAGCAGCTGGAACTCAAACAGCACCCATATAGAATGCTGGTGCCACAGGCAGCGGCTCTGCCTGCTAACATGCCACATCACAGGCCCTTCAGGTCAGTATTTTAAGTAGATAAAAATTTGGATAAAAATGAAGAGTCTAAATATGTGTGCTAGTAAAAGTCTCTTCAGTTATATCTCAGATGGTAAATTAGAGCAACTTAAAAATATTTATATGAATGTGTGTGTGTGTGTGTGTGTGTGTGTGTTTCCTGAGAGGCAGAGACAGTCAGATGGTCCATCTGCTGGTTCACTCTCCAAATGCCTGCAACAACTAGGCCTGGACCAGGCCGAATCCAGGAGTCTGGAACTCAGTCCAGGTTTCGTGTGTGGGTGGTGACAGGTTCACAGTTATTTGGGCCATCATGCACTGCCTCCTAGTATGCACAGTATCAGGAAGCTGGAATTGGGAGTGGCGCTGGCGCTTGAATGCACACATTCTGATACAGATTGTGGACGTACCAAACGATGTCCTAACTGCTTCACTAAACACCTGCCTCTAGAGCATTTATTTATTTATTTGTTTCTTAAAAATTAATTTTTTGAAAGACAGAGAGAGAGATCTTCCATTCACTGGTTTTCTCTCCAGATGGCCACAACAGTTGGGGCTGGATCAGGCCGAAGCCAGGAGCCTGGAATTCCATCCAGGTCTCCCATGTGGGTGGCAGGGACCCAGATACTTGAGCCATCCTCTACTGCTTTCCAGGCCCATTAGCAGGAAGCTGGATTAGAAGTTGAGCAGCCAGAACTCGAACTGGCACTCATATGGGATGCTAGTGTCACAGGTGGTGGCTTAACTCTGGGCCACAATGTTAGCCTCCTTCCCCTAGAGTATTTGTATAATTCATTCTTGGATAAGTTTATAGTTGTATCTTACATGTTTTGCTGACAAAAATTCTTAAAACTCTTTATGATTTTTTTCTCTATTGTTGCTTAAATATTCTTTGTGCCATCCAACCAATCTTTCTTGACTGAGCTTTTCCATTTCATAATTAATTTTTAAAATATTATATTCATATTTTTGTCTCTTTCTCGTTCATTTGTAATAAATGAATCAAAATTTGTTCTTAGTACCTCTGTAAGTCATTCATGTTGAAATTAGACATTGCATCAGTTCTCAGTTCTGTTGGCTGTGTTTTTTTTTGTAATTATTTAGATTTATTGGCAGTTTTATGCAGAGTTTAGGAATATTTAATTATGAACGATAGTACTTTAATAGTAAGTATTAAATGAATTATATTATAGATTAGAATATTAACTATCAAAATGAGGCATTTCAAGATTATAATATCTTGTTAATAACTTTAAGGAGTCCTATCTTTCATACTAATAAATCTCTTGCTCTATTTATCAATTTTTAGTGTCAGCAGTTATTCTTAAGTGTTGAAAATTAACTGAAATGTGATCCCTGTTAAACATAAGAGTGGGAATAAGAGAGGGAAGAGATGTATAATTTGGGGCATGCTCGGGCTGACTTGCCCCAATTGGTAGAGTTGGAAACATACCAGGGGATTCCAATTCAATCCCATCAAGGTGGCATGTGCCAATGCCATCTCACTATTCCAAGTGATCAATTTCAGTTCACAATTGATCATAATGAAAGGACTAAGAGTCAAAGGGAGCACATAAACAAGTCTAGTATCTGCTAACACTAACCGATAGAATAAATAAAGGGGAGAGTGATCCAACATGGGAAGTGAGATACTCAGCAGACTCATAGAATGGCGGATGTCCTAAATAGCACTCTGGCCTCAGAATCAGCCCTAAAGGCACTCGGATCTGGCTGAAAAGCCCATGAGAGTATTTCAGGCATGGAAAGCCAAGACACTCTGGCAAAAAGATCTCTGTGAGTGAGATCCCAGTGGAAAGAACAGGTCTTCAAAGAGGGAGGTGCCTTTCTCTGAAGGGAGGAGAGAACCTCCACTTTGACTATAACCGTGTCTAAACAAGATAAGAGTCGGAGAACTCAAGGGGCTTCCATAGCCTTGGAAACTCATGACTGGTGCATAGGGAGATTACTGATGCCATAAACAGTTGTGTCAATTTGTAAAGTCAACAACAGGAGTCACTGTGCACTTACTCCTCATGTAGGATCTCTGTCCTTAATGTGCTGTACACTGAGGCTATGCTAAACGAGTACTCCAACAGTATATTTCACATTGTGGTTTCTATGGGGGTGCAACGATGAAATCTTACTTAGTGGTACAACTAAACTGATCTTCTGTCAAAAACAAACAACGAAATTATCAATTCCCAACTTGACTCTCACTGGGATTAAACATGACAATAGGTCTGATCTGATTTCATCATCATTTAAAAAAAATCATCTATTATTTTTCACTTTATGTTTCTGTGTGGGAGCAAACTGTTGAAATCCTTACTTAAGGTATACTAAGCTGATCTTCTGTATATAAGATAATCGAAAATGAATCTTGATGTGAATGGAAGGGGAGAGGGAGTGGGAAAGGGGAGGGTTGTGGGTAGGAGGGACGGTATGGGGGGGGAAGCCATTGTAACCCATGAGTCGTACTTTGGAAATTTATATTCATTAAATAAAAGATAAAAAAAAAAATTTTTAGTGTCAGAACTTTGAAGAATCCTTACAGTGTTTTTAGAAGGATTGTGATAATGAACTATTATATTTTGTTTTCTTTTCTACTAATTTTAAAAGACATTCTTTCAAATTCATTTGGATACAGTGATTTTTTTCCATAAATTTTAATTCTTTTTTTGTTTATTCCAAATGTACCTTTTTCTCCCAATTTCATTTACCAAGCTTGATAGATTTCTTAAGATATAATGATTGTTATGGTCTTCAGGGTTTATATCCTGTCTTGTTTTATATAAGTGAAAGGAAACAAATCAGAGATGCATTAAATGTCTATAAATAGCTGTGGCTTAGTACACTCGATCAATATTTCTGCACAAAATACATTAGGGATAAGAGAGAATATTTGTCTTTTAGACTCAACAGATTCTATACTTTACTCCTGCTTTACCATGAGATGTGTCCTACCATATACTAATGTGACTAACAGCTTTGTATTTATTTATGATTATATTAAATGTAAATTTTTTTTCTTGGGCTTGTAACTGAGTTTATTGTCTAGGCCCTTTATTTTTCCTACATAATTCTTTCAGTTGCTTTTCTAACAGTATATATAGTAGAGAATGGACATGGAAGAAAAGTATTATTTAGCTAAAATTTAAAAATTGTTTTAGAGAAAATTAACAATATTATCATCACATCCCTTAAAATTAACAATAGGAAGTGAGAGAGCCGCATGCAAATCTGAAATTATTGGGACCCTGAGGTGGAAAGCAGGTTGCTGACAGTATAGCCTAGTGTGGCTGGAGGGCCTGGAGCCAGCGACAGCCTCAGAGGATTAGGATAGAGAGAGAGCCAGGGCTAGATCATGTAATACCCTACAGGGGGGATGGCTTTTATTCACAATTTGATGATTTGATTTTTGAGTAGGGGAGTTATATGATCTAATTTTAGTTTTAAAAGTATCATTCTGAGTGGTGAATAGACCATGAAATGTGTGTTAAGCTGGGAAGCCAGGTTATAATCATGCAGTAGTCTGGGCAAAAGATGATGGTGCTTAGAGTCCGGCTGTAGAGTCTGACAATAATGTCATACCACTGCTCATAAAACCCTTCCGTGACGTGATGTATGAGAAGCTAACATATAGCTTAAAATGAGACATTTATTTCTAGGACAAAAAGCAGGGAAGTTTTGCTTTTTTTTTAAGAGCTGGGAGATTTATTTCTCATGAATAATGACAATGAAATGACTGTACATATTTTCCTGTGTGCTTTAACTGATAAAAAGCTGAGAACAGTAGTCACAGTCCTCCGATGGCAGCTATATAGTTTCTTTAGCACCTCCATACAAGTATTTTGTGTTTTGTATTCCTATTTGTCCAAGTATTTTATTTAATTGCATTTATATTTTTCCTGTTCTTAGTTTTTAAAATATTTGTGGTTGTTATAATCAGCCTTAATTACTTTGCAAAATGATACAGGGTATGAGAATTTATGTATTTGAAATCTTTGTGAAGCCAGCTTTAATTTTTAAAATGATAGCGAAAAAATAAAGTCTGGATAACAGTCATATTTATACTATTTATTTTTTTACATTTTTTAAATCAGACTTCTGATTTTTGATTTTGTAAAATTGAAAGCCACAATGTTTTTAATTCTTTCGGTGCCTTAGCACTGAAGATTTTAAATGAGTCAGATATTTTAGGCTTTGCATTTTCCGTGTGTCTTTTTGTGAAGCAGTAGAGTCCTTTAACCAAGTCTGTTTGATTCCTGTGTGACCAATGCAGTTTCATTTCTTTTCCTGTAGGTGGCACGCACTACCCTTCTTCCTGGCCTCTTGAAGACCATAGCAGCAAATCGAAAGATGCCCCTTCCTCTGAAACTCTTTGAAATCTCTGACATAGTAGTAAAAGATACCACCAAAGGTAAGGTTGAGTCACCTTAGATTTGTGTACTTGAAGCATTTATTTTTTTAATTAGTAAAATGTTAACTATATACAAAAGTATAGAAGATTATGTAATTAGGCCTGTGAATCTAGCACCCAGCTTCAGCAGTTATCAGCACATGGCAGGCTTTTTTCATCTGTATCTGAGTGTGAATCCTAGACATGTTATTTCATCAGCAAACACTTCAGTACACATATCTAAAGGATAAACACTATCACTTTTTTTTGATATTTATTTACTTTATTTGGAAGGCAGAAAGAGAGAAAGAGAAGGAAACACAGAGATGCCTCACATCTGCTGGGTCAGTTCTCCCATGGCAGCAGTTGGAACTAGGCCAGGCTGAAGCTGGGAGCCAGGAACTTAAGCTGAGTATCCCACGTGGGTAGCAGGGACACAATTACTCGAGTCATCACCTACTACCTCCCAAAGGAAGCTGGAGTAGAACAGAGCTGAGACTCCAACCCAGGTACTCTGATAGGAGATGCAGGTGTCCTAGGTGATGGCTCAACAACTCAACCAACACTCACCCCTGTTTTTTTCTTTTTTAAATAACCCAACACCATTATCCTACCTTATTTTCATCAGATATCTACATAGTGTTTAAATTTTCCCAGTTCTTTCACAAATTTGATTTTTATGATTCATTTATTTGAATCAGAATCTTAGCGATGCCCAGATATTTGATTGTTGTGTCTCTCATTTCTTTTAATGGAAAGCACATTTTAATGGAAAGAACAAAGGATTTAATAATATTTATGAAGAGCTTACTAAAAATCTCAACTTGGAAAGCACTTTTCTTCTATCATGTGATTTATATTCATATCATTCTAACAAGCTGATATTGTGCTAGTCTGGTGTAGTGGTAGATTGCCCAGCATAACTGTTTTACCAGTGATGATGATTGTATTTTACTAGTTTGTGTTCCTTTTGAGTGTGATGTGGACTTATTAGTAAAGCAGGTAGGTTTCTTGGTGTAACACTTGGAATGTGGTAGCTATTTCAAGTACCTAATCCTGATTGCCAAGGAACTCATCTCAAACTCTGTTTCCAGTCTCTGAGGCAAACCTGTCTGTTTCTAGCTGTGTCTGTAGCAATCCCTTGGTTAGCAGGAAGTCAAATGACTGAATTTCTGGTTGTTTCCTTGGTTCCTTGGAGTTTACAAATTAATTCCTAGCAGTGTGTTTATTCATTGGTTATTTGTACAGACTATGCAGTCCAGAATGTGTTCTTTTGAATTTGTTGACAAAAGGAAAGACTTTTTTCTCAGTTTCTTCTGAAGAGGGCAATAGGCATTTTTAGCTACCCAAAGTAGTCAACAACTGTTGACTGTAACTCAGCCCATCATAGGAAATAGACATTTAGGTTGTGACCACTTTGATTGTCATATGTGGGCTCCATAGCAAACCTTTCACTCAAGACTGGATTCTGTTTCCCAATATTGTCCCAATTAACATATTGGGAAATTAAGATAGGAAACTGGTAATTCTCTCAGGGCTGCATAAAATTGAAGTAGGAACTGGTGCCATAATTTAGGCCTCAGTAACATATCCTTAGAGAATAAAAGTTCATTTTGTTATTTTTTTTAATTATTTTTATTGGGGCTGGCACTGTGGCGCAGCGGGTTAACACCCTAGCCTGAAGCGTCAGCATCCCATATGAGCGCCGGTTCTAGTCCTGGCTGCTCCTCTTCCCATCCAGCTCTCTGCTCTGGCCTGGGTTAGCAGTAGAAGATGGCCCAAGTCCTTGGACCCCTGCACCCACGTGGGAGACCTGGAAGAAGCTCCTGGCTCCTGGCTTTGGATCGGCGCAACTCTGGCTGTTGCAGCCATCTGGAGAGTGAACCATTGGGTGGAAGACCTCTCCCTCACTCTCTGCCTCTTCTCTCTCTGTGTAATTCTTTCAAATAAAATAAATAAATCTTTAAAAAAATATTTTTATTTATTTGAAAGGCTGAGTGACAGAGAGAGAGGGAGAGGTGGAATGAGGGAGAAGGAAGGAGCGGGGGGCCGGGGAGAGATTAGTTTTCCATGCATTGGTTCACTCCCCATAAGCCTACAATTGCTAGGGCTGATCAGACTGAAGCCAGGGGCACAGAGTAATCTGTGCCTCCCACACAGGTGGTGGGGACCCAAGTACTTGAGCCATCATCTGCTTCTCCTAGGGTAAAAATTAGTAAGAAGCTGGCTGGATTGGAAGCAGACAAGCTGGGACTTGTCTAGGCATAAAAGTTCATTTTAAATCAGTCTATGTGCATTTTCTTTGGCTGATAAATCTATAATAGAAATCAGAAAATATTTTGGTGCCAGCTACAGAGAGTTTTGAGAGTTTTTGTGACTCAAATATTCACTGTTACAAAATAATTAAGAATTTGTACAATTCCAATGCCAAATTTTTCTGTTAACCTTGAGTTATTTCCTTTCTTCTTAGTTCTTTGAGTTTTATATTGTTTTTGATGCCAGGTAATGTGTTAATGTTTATAAATACAGGATTAAGTTAACTATATAGATCTCCTCAAAAGATTTGTAAAATGGTTTCAGCAATAGACTTCTTCCCTAATAGCCAGTGCTTCCTAAGAACTCTGCAGGGCTGGGCATGCTCACAAGCAGGCAGCTTAGAATCTGCAGGCTAAAGATGAAGAGGAAGTCAGGGTCTCAGAATTGCTGCAGAAAGTTTTGCTGTGGGTATGGAGCACCTTGCTATACTGCAATCAACTATACAGGTGCCTTTGCTGTTTTTCTTTTAATCTGTGTGTGTTGAGAAGCCCAGGCATATACCCTGCTTCTCATTTAGCCCTTAAGGCCTATGCTTGGAGATGATGTCCCTATTGAGACATAATGTTCCTTTGTTCTAGTGCTGTGAGCCAATTTTAACAAATCACTTAGGTGATGACCCCAGAAACCCAGTCTAAATATATATATATATATATATATATATATGATTTATCTATTTGTTTGAAAGAGTTACAGAGAGGCAGAGGAGGAGGAAAAGAGAGAGAGAGGTCCTCCATCTGCTGTTTCACTCCCCAGATGGCTGCAAGGAGCTGCTCTGATCCAAACCCAGGGGCCAGGAGCTTCCTCTGGATCTCCCACACAGGTGCAGGGGCCCAAGGACATGGGCTATCCTCTACTGCTTTCCCAGGCCATAGCAGAGAGCTGGATCAGAAGTGAAGCAGCTGGGACTCGAACTGGTGCCCATATGGGATGTTGGCACTGCATATGGGATGTGACCTTACCCTCTACGCCACAGTACCAGCCCCGACAGTCCATTTACTTTTGAGCTCAAAGATTTGCATTTCTGCTGTACTTTGTTTCATTAGGAATAATCATTTTTATCTCTGTAACAGAACTCTTTAATATCTGCTCTTAGTTATAATTACTGCACTCTGTTTTCCCCATTGATTCATTTCTATCTGAGATTATTGCCTATTTTCTTGTGCTCATTTACTTTTTTTCTTTAAAATTTTCTATTGTATCAATGGAATTTAAAGAATGAAGGGAGGTTAATGTGCTCAGTAAATCTGCCATCTTGAAAATATAGATTTGCTTTAATTTATAGGAGTATGTTTTCTGTTTAGGTAGGCCTGGATTTTATTTCATAACAAAAGGAGCTTTTCTGATGGAATATTTCAAATATGTGCATGTGGATTCCCTGCTTGTCATCTGGCATACATAGAGGACTCTATAGGAGAGGCAGCTCCATACCATGGTTCTGTAGAGAGATTCTGTGGTCTGGGTGCTTGGTCAAGTAATAGTTCTTTGAGTTAGTACTGCTGAACTTTGGACAGTTTGTTTCATCTATTTTTCAGTTTCCTCATCTGTATAGTGGTGAAAATGATAGCACTTATTTCATCAGATTTGTTATAAGCAAAAAATGAAATTGTATTTTGAAAATGTCTAGCCACACATTAAGCACTGTTTGAAATTAGCTATTATTTTTAGGGTGTTAGCAGTCTTTAAGGTCAGATAGTTCTAGTGTGCTGGCCTATGAGAATTTTCCCAATAGAATCACTTGAAAGCCTTAGGTAAATTACCATTAAAGGGTTAATGTCACCTGGCTGAGGATCTGGGCGCTGATTTTTGTCTTAACATTTGACTTAATTGGTTTTTCTTCTGTTGTGCTTTATTGCTTTATTTCTTCTTTCTTTCTTTCTTTCTTTTCTTTTCTTTCTTTCTTTCTTTCTTTCTTTTTTTTTTTTTTTTTTTTTTTTCGGTAAGAAAACCAAAACATATAATGTGAGAATCTACTTAAGAAAACAAGAGAGTTGTTTTTTGAGTAATTCATCACCCACTTCTTTTCAATGAATTGACATATAATTTTTACTGTCTCAAATCAGGAGTCATTTCTCTGTTGGATTTACATTAGCCATGTCCTGCTAAATAGTGAAACTGTTTTGAAGAAAGAAAAAGTCTAAAGCATCAAAAGTGAAATGATAGAGGAGTAGTCTGGTTTATATGAAAATTTCTGATTTTTACTGTTTGGAACAGTCTCTAAATTATAGGTTCAAGGTGGTAGAGATGTGTGGCAGCAGTGAGCCAGACAATCTCATCTAGCACATTGCTAGAAAAGTATTTTTGATTTCTTCTTTGCTAGGGCCAGCTGTGCAATGTATGGAGCAGAGTTACCTGTCTTCAGAGAGAGACACAGGAGCAGATTCTGACTGTTTGGGTTCAGAGACTACAGGTGCACTGATATATCAGCACAGAGAAAGGAAGAAAAGCCACCATCACTAGTTTTGTCATACTAAGGAAAAACCCAACACTCCCAGCCACACAACAGTTTGGGCTCATTTGGCAACCATTGTCTTCCTAAGTGGAAATGAAAAAGGTATCTGGACTGAATTTGAATGTGCCTCCCACAGATTCTGTCTGACCTGCTTTCCTGTAAGAGTAGCTGAAAGACCATGAGCTTCTATTTTCATTATTACCCTAATAGGACAGTTTCTTGTCTTAAGGAGGATTTTTTTTTGACTGACCATTGG